ATATTTATATATATGTATATATGAAAAATATATCAAAAATGCATGTGGGTACCCAAATGAAAGCTTTTGATGAGTGTAACGTCGAGATGAGCTTATATCTTTAAAAACGTCAATATTTAAGAAAGTACAGTGCAATTTAACAAAAGTCATTATTTAATAAAGCAAAATTTTAATTATTTATAGTTTACAAGTCACGGCAGTCACGTAGTGACTGCTAATTATTAATTTACCAAAAATTGATCAAAAAACCACTCAAGAAACTTCTTAAAAAATTTATGAAATCAATATCATAAATTAACAGTAAAATGACTAGTGTAAAACTAAAAAAAAATATATATATTTATGTTACAGACTACGAACGATGCCAACGATCTGTGCGTACCTAAAGCTAGATCTGGCGTTCATCCTGATACATGGCCGCTACGTCTACATTATTTATTAAAAGACTAGTTGTTCTAGTCGACATTAGTATCTGACATGATATGTGATGTGCTTTAGTGTTGAACTTGTTTTATAAATAAAAAATATATATTTATATTCTAATGAAGTATTATGTTAATAATATACAATAAATAAATAAATAATTAACGTATCAATAAAATCCGTCAACCTCAAACGCATTCAGTGATACAATTTAAAAATGATTTACTACAAAATAGTTTCATCACTTAACCGTATTCAGAGCCGCCCTCTTCTATCAACATTTTAATTATTTTAATTAATAACTTCAATATTAAAAATTAAATTTTAATTCAACATTCAACAGTTTAGTTATCAAGCAGCCTAAGGCAAATATATATTTATATATTTTCATATATATTTGTTTAATTATTTTAAAACATTAACGTGACATTTGTATAAAGCTTCATTCATATATTTACTGATATTAGATTTCTTTTTTTAAAATTATCTTTGATAAAAAACGTCTATTATTATATATTAAGTTTGGAAGTTTTATGATAGTTGGTAGTGTAATTGTTGTATGGTATGTGTGAATTTATTCAGTATTATATGTTAATTAGAGTTTTAGTGAATCCAAAGAGTTGGCCGAAGATCGACGGGACAAAACTACTGATGGAGGACCACTGACCAGGGACGTGGTGCCGAAGAGTTTGTACCATCCGAACACCATTTCATTGAGATTCAGATCGTCTAACATTATCTGTGCGACGCCCATGAATACTTTTCTACCTTCTAAGCGACCGTAGTCACCCCAGACTGTCACCTGCAATTTATAAAAATATTTTTGGGAAATAATATTTAAGGAAATAAAATTTAAAAGGTCCAAATTTGGTAATTTTTTATAAAAATTTAAAAGTTAAGATATTTAAAATTTTTTTCAATTTTTTCATTCTTCAGTAAATTGAAGATAAAAATAAAAATTAAGTTAGGTGAGATTTAAAAATTAAAAATAATTTTTTTTGAGAAAAAAAATTCCATTGTAATTATGCAAAAGTCGGGCTCCACACAGAAAAAAAGGTTCACTTAAGCCAAGAAAATATTTTTCTTCCTAATTATTTTCTTGAGCGAAAAAAAATTTTTTTTTGACCAAAAATTGACAAGTGTTTACTCAAAGCAATTTTTGATCTTTTGAATTTTGGACTTTGTTAGAATTTAAAAATATTCAGAATATATATTTAGATTTTTTAACAGTGTAAAACTTAAAAAAAAATTTTTTAATATTTTTTTTTGTCCAAAGTCAAAAGTTCAAATTTTCTTTTGCTTAATAATGGAAGTAATTTTTTTTTAATAAAAAAATTAAATTAAAGGATCAAATTTTTTTTTGAATTTTTGGAATTAAATATAAGTAAATAAAAATTTTTGGATTTGAAAAATTCTACAACTATTATTTTAACAATTTTTGATTTGATGATTTAAACCAGATTTTAATACACAGAAAAAAGGGTTCACTTGAGCCTAAAAAATATTTTTCTTTCTAATTATTTTCTTGAGCGAAAAAAAAATTTTTTTTTGACAAGAAATTTGACTTATTCCAACAAAATTAATTCTCTTGCTTTAAGAAATATGTATCTTGATCCAAAAAAATTTATTTAAGTCTAGAAAATCTTGTTGTTTTGAGATGATTTTTGGTAGCAAAATTTTCTAAGATATATTTACCTGCAAAATGCAACCTTGGAAATTTTCTCTAAAAGCTAGAGGCTGCTGATAAAAAGGCTCTAATGTTTTCCTCGCTGTAGTCGTTTTCGCTTTGGCTATACATTTTTTACCGTTCACCAAGTAAACTTTAACATAAGGAGCTGAAAGAAAGATAAAAAACCCATGAGCTTTCGCCTTGACTAAAACTAATCTCACAAAATTGTGATCAAGTATTGATGGATCAAAATTGACTGTTAAAATCGACACAAAAAAATTTTGATGACTACGAAAAAGCAGGAAGATGTTAAATATGTAAAGATAGGTAATGTAAGAGGATATTAAATAAAAATTTGAAGAAGAGAATTAAAAATATACCTGGAAGTACTTTACTGCCTGGTTTCGGCTGGAGATCTCTTGCCCTAACAACTTCGACTTCTAAATAGCCCTTGGTATAATTCAGGGCCAACTGTATGTCACCAAGTGAAGATGCTCCAAGTACTTGTCTGCCAACTAATTGACCCGGTCCAAGGCCGTCGATAAATTCACTGAGTTGCCCTCCTTCGCCCGTCGATCTCAAACACGGAGACCAACTATTGTTTCCGTTATTAAAAAAATAAAAAAACACCGATTAGTTCATTTTAATTTGATCTTACTTTTAGTAATTACATTTTATTTCATTTTATTAATCAATAGGAAAATTCGCTTACGATAGGAGGTACTTTTTTAGTAAAGTACTTCTACTACTAGTCGAGTGACGAGAAATAACAGTTTACAAAAGAGGAAATTTTAATACATAATAAATTTTTTTTTGGACCTTCGACGAAAGCTTTGAAAGGATTTTTGATAATAGTAGTAAGTATTATATTGGAATCATAAGAGTTTTTTGTTAGAAAATTGTTTTTAGGTTTATTAGTAAGTAGTAGAAAATTTTTGGAATTTTTTTTAATTAAATATAATTTTTTTTACACGGAAAAGAGTAAACTGTAAAATTCACTTGGATTCCGGTTAATTTTTATAGTTTCAAACAGTAAAGCGGACATCGGGGTGGCAAAAATATAAATATTACAGAACTTACTACTAATATCGAAAATAAGTGAATCGCAAATATTACTGTTTGAAACATTATTTTCCTCCTTATAAAAAATAAATTGTAGCATTTAAATGATAAATATTACATAGTGATTATTAAAATCACGATTTTACTGTTTGAAATGGTAATTTTTAGTTGATCATTACTTATTATAAATCGACTATTATTTATTACAGTTTAATTTTTTCCTTGTACTTGTTTCAAATTTATTTTTTATCCAAAAATTTTATGAAATTAAAAAAAAACATTTTTTTTTACAGTAAAAAAAAAATTCCAAAAAAATGAAAATATTAAATCCAAAATTAGTGTTGTAGATAATTAGCAGGTTAATTATGAAAAAAGTATGGCATCCATTACTTAGTACTTGATATATATAAAAATTACGTATAGTAAAAAAGAAATACATAAATAAAGAAAGGTTGCTTAATAATAATTTATTTATAAAAAAACATACCAAGCTCTTAGTCATGCAAAAATCATTCCTCACGCATAATCATTAATTAATAGTATATATACACATAGAAAAATGATTTATTGTTAAATTGAATGTTAAATCAGCTGTTTGTTACTGCGGCGGCCATGCGCGCTTTATTGCGCGGCCGCGGAACTCGCAATATGGCGGCTGGGGTGACGATCAGCTGATTTTGAACTCCATGCTATTCATTATTAATATATTTGTATTAGTATAAGGTTAAATAATAATATATTGAGTAAAATAAATAAATTTTCTAAACTTACTCAACTGTTCACTGTTCTTCTCAATTAAAGTACAATTACAAGATATTTGAATCGAAAAATAAAAAAATTTACGTGAAAAAAAAACTAGTCCTAGTTAAAACATTTTTTTTTTACAGAAATAGGTTAGTGAATTTTTAAAATACAAGTACAATATTTTACACAAATTTTTTATCATCGCTACTTTCATATTCGTATCCACAAATCACACAACTATTCTATGATTATTAATTATAAATATAGTTTCCTATTAAAATTTTATCTAAGCTAGGAAATTTTTTAGCTACGATGTACGTTGATAATTATTCACTTAGTTTAGTAACAAATTTCATTTAAATAAAATTCAATATAAAAGTGATTTATTTACAATAATAAAATTAGTATAAAGTGCGTTACACAGTAGACAGTAAATAAGTGTTTGATTTTTAGGTTTTGGAAATGTTTCATTTGCGCGTAGCGGTTGTGGGAGTGTTTTTTACAGTCATTTTTATTTTTTTATCAATAATTTAACAGAGAAAATTTTTCAACCCTTAATTATCATTAGCGTCGAGATTATTACCGCAAATTCAAAATAACAGTTCAAATTTTTGATATTGTGGCCAAAGTATTGGTTTTATAAAAAATTTTTGAACCAAAAATCATTCAAAATTAAATTTTTTACAAAATATATCCCTTATGATCAATAATTTCACGGTATAATTTCAAAAGTTAGATTAATAATCATCAAAAAATTTGAACTTTTGATTACAAATCTTAATTTTGGAACCACAGCTAAAATATTGGGTTTTTTGAAAAATTATAAACAATTTTTATAGACAATTAAATTCTAAACAACTTTTGTTTAATAAATTTTTTATAAGACCAAAATTTACGCCGTAATATTAAATATTTGAACCACTTATTTTAAAATAGCGGAAAACATTTTGGCCCTAGATATCAATTATAAAATTTTTTTCCATAGGTAAAAATAATAAAATTTTTTTAAATCATAATTAAGGGTTGCATGATCGTATTTTGTATTTGTTTAGTGATTTTTAAGCATTAGTTTTTGGTCCTAAAGAAAGATACAGTCTCGTTTTTCACTCCTTTAATACCGAAGAGTGTAGAATATTATGAAAACAATATTGAAATTATTTTTTTCAATTATTGAAGCTTTGATTATGAATTTTTGAAAAGTTTAATAGCTGATATCATTGCAAAAATTTTGAGAGCTAATTTCAAAAATTTTTTTTTGGTATTAGAGACGTGACTTTCTAATTGGGGATGTGTAACATATAGAATAACACTTAATTGGTGCATTAAAAGATCCATAGTGGTGCAAGTCGCAACATTTGCATTGTAAACAAGCATTAAGCCAAACCACAGTAACATATATCAATAAACTTTGTTCTTGTTGTAAATAATATATAATAACGTAGATAACTTTGGGGAAAAGGGATCAGGCAGTTAACAAACAATTGTTTATATACAGATTCAAATTCAAAAATATTCATTTTGTTCATTAGTTTGATATTGGTCGTGATTTGAAGAAATTAAATTTTTGGAAAGTGTGTTTTGAGTAATTTACTTATAACTGAAAGAAATTTTTTTTTTTAATTAAAAAGAATTAATAATTATTAGTGCCAAAATTTTTGCCGAAAGTTTAAAATAACAATTTATAATAAATCGTTCAAATTTTTGAGATTACGGCTAAAATGTTGATCCGATAAAAAATTTTTTTAAACAGAAGTTCAAAATTTAATTTTATAAAAAAAATGTTTATAATTTTTTTTTTTAATCAATATTTTCGCTGTAATTTCAAAAATAAGATTCATAAATATCAAAAAATTGTAACCTTTAATTATGAACGAACCATTTAATTTTATTAAATAAAAAATCTGGTTTTTAAAAAATTAAAAATTTATCAAGTTTATAATAATTCTTCTTCAAGCTGAATTTTTTCTTCAACAAAAAATTTAAAAGAAAATTTCTTTCTCTGTAATATATTTAAAATAAAAATTTTTTTATCAGTAATTGAATTGACGCAATAGCGTCAATAAAGTTTTGAATTTACAACTGAAGAAAAATAAACTTTTTTAATTATTAATTACGAGGATAATGTGTTAAATACTAATTATTATGTTGAAAGTTTTTAATGTGTAGTTACTCATGTGTAAAACAGAACATTAATTTAAATAATTAATAAACGGATACACAAGTTAAGAAATAAATAGCGATATGTTTATATTTTTGACAAATAATAGCAATAAGTCAAGTAAATTATTTTTAGTCAGAAAAAAAAATTATTTTGAAACTTTATACAAAATTTTTATTTTTATTTAAATTAATTACTTGAAAAAAAAAATGTTTTTAAATGAAAAGGGTTTAAATACAAAAATTTAACAATGCCATATCGCAATTTTTTTCTAAAAAAATGAAAAACGAACAAAGGAGCCACATAAATAGACACACTCTCACATAATATAAATTACAGATTTGTATAATGTGGTACAATAAATAAAAATAATATTTATTAAACAAAACTCATTAACGTCGGGAGTCATAAACATGTAAACGAATAAAAGAATAAAACACACAATAAACAAATAGTAATAATAATTATAATTGTAATTGTAACAATAAAGTATTGATTAATATTAATAATAATAATAATGATAATAATAATAATAATAATAATAATAATAATACTAATAAGTGAGTAGGTGAAAGTAGAGATAGAGAATGAGAGGGACGCGTTCGTCTCGTCGAACAGTCGTATATTATTAGATAATTACCTATATTATATATAATTAATACATTCAAGTGTTGATAGTTTCATGGTCATAAATAATTTATGTACACGTATATTTATAAGAGTGCTGCAATTGTAACAAAAATTTATTTTTCATACTTTTAAAGCTTCAGAAAATTTTTTTGTTTTACAAATTTAAATTTTCATCACGCTAATTAAGACTTATATTATCTCAATAGCTTCCATTAATTTTTCTAGAGTAAAAAAATTAACAATTAGATTTTTAAAAATTTTTTTTACCAAAATTATTAATTTTGACTTCTGAAAAAAATTTTCTACTTCACTGAGAAAGAAAATACTAAGAAATTCGATGACGATCAAATACTCTATTATATATTACATATTTAAGAAATGACCTTGTATCTCGTGAACTATTGAAATTTTTAAAGATATAAGCTCATCTCGATGTTACACTCATCAAGACCTTTCATTTGAGTACCCACATCATTTTTTCATATATTTATATATATTATATATATGTATATATGAAAAATATATGAAAATGCATGTGGGTACTCAAATAAAAGCTCTTAATGAGTGTAACATCGGAATGAGCTTATATTTTTAAAAACGTCAATAATTAAGAAAGTACTGTGCAATTTAACAAAAGTCATCTCCGATAAAATTTTTCCGTATCTCCAGTATTTTTTACCCCACAATTAGACATTAAAAATTACCAGCGACTAAGCAATTACAATTGCAGCCTCTCGATGACAAAATATGTGTATAAAAATCATAAACATTTCCATATTTATTGAGAACACGCCTCGAAGATTTGTTTAGGCATTACTTACGAACTTGCTTCAGAACTCGAGATCGAGTTGAGGGATCCGGCGGTGTCGCTGGCCACCGAACCCGGTTGTTTGGTGGCACCAAGCCTTTGGTACATCGGCACGACCTCCTGGGACCTCTGAAAGCTGCTCGGGGTGCTGTTCCGCTTACGGGTAACAATACCAGAGCTCCTTGAGTCCAAGTTGGATCCGACCACGCTGATGCACTCTGCGTTTTTAAACCAAACAAGAAATACCGCTAACTATTTCGTATGCTTTTATTTTAAACCTTCACTCCTATAATTTCCCTAAATATTGTTCTTGTATTTTATAATTATTATTATCATTATTATTTAACATCATATCATTCCCTCCCATTCTCTATCACACACGCCAGCCACACTAAACAATACAATGTTGATATCCATCCATTTATCTCATCAGTCGTCTGGACTTCCGCTGGAGTTATCATTTTTTATTTTACTTGCCAATACAGAGTCATTCTCACACTCCAGAACTTTTTTTTTTTTTTTGACGAGGTTTGAATTGTGTTTTGGGAATTTTGTTGGTAAAGTGCTGATTAGTTGGCAATTTTTTATAAGAATATTTACATAAATTATTATTATGTGTGAGGACAATAATAGTGAATTTTTTTTTTTAACTTATTAATTTTTATGATGAATATTTCTTATTAAACATTTGTGATTTTTTATATTTAATCAAGCTTTAAAATGAAATTTTACAATCAATATTTTTTTTTCTATTCATAATTTATTAATTTAAATAATAATTAAAAATTAAATTGTCTTGAAATAAAAAGTGTGATTTTACTTTGTAAAAAAATAATTGAAAATTTAAAGAAAATTAATTGTTAAAAATTGAAATTTAAATTTCAAAATTAAACATGTTGAATAAAATTATTTACAAATATAAAATGCAATTATTTATCGAGCGCGATGTTTTCAGTAAGAGTCGTAGCTGCGCGCTAGAAAAATACTACTTTGCACACGCTTACTACTCGAGGTAAAAACATCGCGCTCGGCAAATAATTACAAATTGAGTCTATTTTTTTCTCTGAATATTTTTTATACTTTAAAAACATTTTTAAAATTATCTCAAGTTTTTTTATAGGTACAAAAATGCTTAAATTATTAAATTTACTGAACAAAACACTGTAAAAAAAAATTTTTTTTATGAAAAAAATGAAAATCTCTTGATAAATATGAAAAAACTGCATTCATTAAATTTAAAAATCAAATAAAATTATTGTTGTTTTAATATCTGAATTTGAATAAAATTTTTTAGACTTATTTTTGTATTATCCAATGCAATAATTACTTTTGCACAGAAAAAAATATTAACTTGAATGAAAAGAAGAATTTTTGAACCAAGAAAATAATTCTAAAAATTAAATCAAATAAAATTAATTCAAACCAAAAAAAATTTCTCAGTTTTCTTAAACCGAGTAAAAAATTTTTATTTTTTTTACTAAAATCAAAAAAATTATTTACTTAATTTAAGCAATTTTTTTTTTATTCTGTGCACAGCTAATTTTTATAGTTTTATTACTCTAAAAAGCAATAAATATCGATACAATATGAAAATACTTGAAAATGTGATCTCGTAAATTTAAATAATCACATTAATCGTCATCAGTGTCCACATAAATAATTGTGTCTATCAACATGTACGATACAAAAATAATAATATGTTAAACGTGGAGTCGAATGCACATATAGACATAAATACACTTACGTGATACGCTTACAGAAATAATTACTCGTCACCAAATATATATGTGTAATATAAATATAAATATACATTCTATCAGAATAAAGTTAACAACAATATTAATATAAAAATCAAAGTGTATATTAAAGTGTAGTAAATAATAATGAGCATGTATGTACATATTTAAAAGCGCGTAACTAAGCGACGGCTATTATAATTGCACTCTAATTGCACTCTAACAGACGCAAAGTCAATCAATCAGCTATCAGCTAATTTACCAATAAATTAATTATTACAAGAATATTCTACAGTAGACCTCGATTAATAGATCATTTTTCTTTAAAAAAATTTTCCACCCCTAATTTTATTTTAATTGCTCAGATTTTCTAAATCTAGTCTTGATAAAATTTCAAAAATAAATTTACCTACCGTACTGTTGATTTAATTATCTAATTTTCATTTCATTTAAAAAAATATCTATTGAAAAAAAAAAAAAAAAAAAAGCACAGTGAACATTCTTCACGAGCGTTCACATTAAAATTAAAACTAAACAGTCTCAATTTTTTAGTATCAATTGAACAATTGAACAATCTAATAAATTAAAAAAAAATAAAATTAACCAATTAATGATATATGTATTAAGTAATCAATTAACGCCATCTAATTAATACACTAAATCACGCGATCTACGATAAATATGCACTAATAAAACAACTATTATAATTTATAATTAACCATAATTTCATCAATGAACCTTTATAAAAAACTAATAAATTTTTAAACTAATCGTGCGTTTAAATTAATGCGTATCTTTGTTATGTTTTCTTGATTAATTAATTAATTAATTAAACGTCCCGGACATTCGTCGAAGGTTTTAAAAATTCAAATAAAAATCCTGTAAAAATAAAAATCTATTTTTTAGCGATTTTTCCTGTAGAAAAAATAAAACAAACTTTCTATTTGAATTTTTCTAGTTTGTTACAAAATGTCGGACCTGTCGCCATCGCCGCTGCCCTCGCCATCGCTGCTAGCAGAACTAGGCTGCCTCCCGCTTCTGCCGCTAGTAGTGTCCTCTGGTAACACTTCTTCGCTTCTATGTACAGTGAATGAGGACTTGCCCTTTTTCCCGAAACCAAGTCTCCTTTTGCGGCCTTCCTCGCCCACGCATGTATCACCAATAGGCACGTTATGGTTTTTTTGTTTTTATAAATTCAATTTTTTATTTCCACAGGCGGAAAATCAAATCCAATCGATCGGCCCATTAATCGATCGATCGATTTATTTATTTTTTTTTTTTAATTTATATTTTGTGTCGATATGATTTTTGTACGGATGATATTTATTGTTGTGGAAGTGCAGTTTCGCCGATGATTAATTCCAGCGATGATTAAGGTCGGATAATGTGTTTAGTGCCGATTTTTAATGTTTATTTTCCCGGTTTACGATAATGAAGTGGATTGTTGTAAAAAAATAATTTTAATGTTTTATAAGCGATTGATACTATTACAATGCACTTTCTTTTATTCTTCGCGGGCGTTAATATTTTTTTGAGAAAAAATTGTTATCTTTTTATAATTAATTTTTTTTCATATGAGATTTTAAAAGAAAACAAAATTTAAATAATTTTTGTGTTTAAGGGCTAATTATTAAAAAATAACTCTACCAAATTTACTTTATACAACAAACGATTCTATTTAATTTTTTATACATTTAAAATTTGAAAAAATTGTAATTTTTTAAGAGCTTTTCAATATTATCAAAAGTATAATGATTTAATAAATAATTTTATTCAAAGAAAAAAAATTGAACTTTATGGAGAATTAAATTTTCTTGAATTGAACAAAAAAATTCTTGAATTAAGAATTTTTTTTTATTTAAATCAATTATACGGGGTTCCGAAATTTTTCTAATTCATTAAAAATAACTTAAGAACTCAAAATAATTATTTAGGTTCAAGATTTTGAATCATACTAATTTTTTATCAGTTTTTTTTGGATCGAATAGGGTAAAAGTACCGTTTTTGGCGTTAACATTTGAATTAATTTATAAAAAATTATAATATTAAAGCAAATTGAGTTTGTAATGATTTATTAATATAAATTCATTTCTATTGTCTATTAGAACAATAAATGTCCATAAACGGTACTTCTACTCTATTAAAAGCTCAAAGATAAAAAAAAATAGTAGATAAATTTTAAAAAATGAATTTACAAGAATATTAAGTTTGATAAATATCAAAAAAATTTTTATGTGATTTGAAAAATTTTTATTGTAATCAAATTGAAATTAAGCAATTAAAAAAAAAAAAAAATTGACAACTTTAAAATCTTCAATAAACACAAAAATAATTAAACTAAATTTTCTGACCCGTTTTATAAATAAACTAAAAAAAAGTAGAAAGTGCATTGTCTATTAATTCACTACGTATCTAAACTGATCTATTTATCTGTAATGATTGATAAATCAAGTACAATGACAATGTGACACTCGAAATACAATGACTGAAAATATAAACTCTACCAAGTGATACGACAATGACTAATATTAATATAATAAAATAGAATAATAATAACCAGTTGAAATAAAAACGAAAAGTATGTATATGTAAAAGTTAAAAAATGTGTAATTGAAATTGAATGATAAATAATAGTAATGGTTACCTGTCGCGGAGAGCTGGCTAGTGCTATTACTCTTTTTTCCTAAGCCGGCTTGGTATTGCACGGCGCTTCCGCCACCGCTGCTGCTCCCGCTTCCGCTTTTGCTACCTGGAGAACTTTTCCTTGCTCTGCGGGCTGCTTCTTCCACGTGGAGACCCACCGCGGTGTCACTCAAACTTCCGTCAGCTTTAAAGGATTATTTTTATCAGTTTTCATTATTATTATTATTATTATTATTATTATTATTATTATTAAAAATAAAATATACAGTTAAGTTACATATAAAAGACGCCATCGTTGAACTTTTATTTAAAGCACGGCGATAACAACGACAAGTTGACCTTGAACATAAATTGGGTTCTCGCCAAAGTACACACACTCTTTATTTTACCAGCACACGTCCACACATTCACACCTATTCACCGAAATTATAAAGCGAGTGTCAATGTGTAGGTAAATAACCGTGTGAAAAGACTGAATTTTACCAAACAATAAGTTTTAGTATAGTATAGTCACACTAAAGTTAAGACAATGTCTTATATTATGTATCTTTAAATGAGCTGCCTTTTTCCTCAGTCTTCTTCATCGTATCACACCTCCTTTCATCAGCAGATCGATTTAAGTGGACCTATCCTGTACGCTGCTATGCATTGCGGGTGGATCAAGATCGTGATTTTTAGATAAAGATGATATAGATAGAGTATATAATAAAGAGATTTCATACAACATTACACGCGAACTATTTTGTACTGAAAAATACGTAATTTTTCAAGATTTGAAGTTCGTGTGTGTTGATATTAAAAAAATGTATGGAAAATTACTTGGGGGCCCTGAAAACATTGCGAAAAAATTTTGTAATTTAAAAAAACCGTAGTAGGTTTTAAAGCTGAGACTTTGAAGATTCTAAAAATGCCGGCGAAGACATAAATATGATTAAGGTACCGGCGGGTAATAAGGCCAAGCTAAGGGAGATTTTGAAAAAAATCGAAAATATTGCATTTAATTATTGAAATGTATCATTATTTTTTATATTAATACATTAGCCATAAAATATAATGGAGTAATGGTAATTTTCATCGTAAACAAACACGAAATTAAATTTTTTCAAAAACCTTCCGAATAGGCCTTATTTTACTGCGACAGGGTAATAAGGCCTGCGGGTTAAACATGCTGGAAATAATTACACTATACTTAATAAAATTGGTATTAGAGATCAATCATCACTTAAATTTAGCAACAATACTTTTTAAGATGTTGATAAAAATTATAACAATGATTTTAAATTATTAAATATAAAATTATAAAAAATCTTTACCATTTACTCAAACCGTTTTTTAGGAATTCTTCTGCGCTACTTTAGCAAATAAATAAATAAATAAATTACCCGCGGGTGCCTTAGGTGTCTAATTTTAATCCTTGATCAAAGTTTTGAAAAAATTTTTAAATAAATAAATAATCACTTACGCAGAAAGCATACATTCGTAATTAAATACCTGAATTGACAATATAAACTCTCTAATTAGGTCATCAAATCTTCCAGCAATCAACCCTTTTAGCACCTAACAAATAAAAACGAAAAACATACTCACCAACTTTTTCATCAGGCGGTCCGTCAGCATTGCTGAGACTCCTGCTGAACTGTCCTCTCTTGGGATGCCCATTGTGGCCATTACCGGTGACCTGATGCCTGGTGTTCTTCTCGTAGGAGCCACCAGGACTGTTGTAATCACCACTGCGTTTTCGTGGAAGATTATCAGGATTGGCAGTACGATCATTGGAATTGATTCGGACGGAATCAACGGACGATTTGGAGAGATGGTCAGTCGATTTATAACCAGATTTCAAGGACGTACCAGTGTCATCATTGGCAGCATCATTGGCATTAACGGACGAATCACGGCGTTTGCGTCGTGGAACGGTATCATAACGACGATCGTTGACCCGTGGGTGATTTTTATCAGTGTCGGAGGTAGCGGTTTGGGAATCAAAGATATTTGAATTAGCGTTACCGGGGCGGGGTGCTCGGTTTCGGGGCCTAAGTGATAAGTCATACGGGCCAAATCCGCAATTTTCGCTGCACTGGCTCTCGCTTTCCATCGAGTACTCGTAGTACTCGAGCGTGTCACTTATCGCGACGTTCCTTTTGCTGCCACTTTGTTCGCGTTCATCACCAGCCAATCGCCTATCGCTCTTCTTGCTCTTCCCAACATCTCGAGCTCCTTCCCGGGGCTTCTTCGCCCGTTCCGGGGGGCAGTCTGGACAGAACTCCCTCGACCAATCACCATCAGCAGAACCGCGAGAGGATTTCCTACCATCTGGATAGGCGACAGTGTAATGATGCTCGCGCCACAAGTCCCTGCACTCTGGACAACTGGTCTTGCGGCTCCTCGTGGACTCCAGCTCATCATCAAACCCACGTCTGGCTGGTCCAGGATACGACCCAGAGCGATCAGTCCTAACAGGACTCCTAAAATACTCTTCACGATGACGATCATCGTCATTCCTCCTGATCTTTCCTCCAGAACTCTCTTCCTTCCCCGAGTCCTTCCGATAATCCGGAGCCACAACTGTCTCCGTCGATCCAAAGTCATCATCCGAACCCATGAAGAAATTCATGCTAACCGCCTCGGTCAAAGGACTTTCAAGGTTCCTGATATCGCGAGCTTCTGGACAACTGCTGTTGCGCCTCCTTCTGGACAGTCGCCTGGACTGGGAGACTTCCCAATCGGCCATCGACTGGTCATCTTCATGCAAGGTAGGTGAGGATTCCGCTTTCTCCAAAACTTTAACATTCTTCCGCTCCTGAGGAGCGAATTCATCATAAGCAGCTTCGAAGGAAATAAAGGGCTCCCTTTCGGTTCTTCCGGCAAAACTACGCGATCTACCACGGCAGTCTTCGTAGCTACCATGATGGTAATCATAACTATCTTCTAAATACGAATCAGTGCTTTTGGTTCTTCTGGCTGGACGCAACCGATCATCAGAACTATCACGAGAATACTCATCATTAGCAACTAACTTATCACAATAATTATTTGGCACTTTAGTTCCTAATCTACTACTATCATAATCATTAACGCTTGCGTAATGACACTCGGGATTGCTGTCAATGCTGCAGTAAATGTGCTCATTGTCAATCCCGTAATGATTGTCATCGGATTTAGCTCGACTCAACTGGCTATCCAGGCGTCTTTTGTATAAGTGTCTTTCGTACTCACTGCTAGCTTCTACGGCGTCGATGATACTGTCAATTTGGTGATCATTGTCCAAATTGTCATCATGGTGCTCGTCTAGGTACACCGAGTAAGAACCATATCTTACGCCATAACTTACACGTAGATCGTTGTTGAAGTCTTGATCAGAATCAACGACACTTTCAGAGGCCTTGGAGCTGTCGCCAGTTGAATCGTAGTAAGACTTGCTCTGGTCGTTCATGTACGGCAGTTTGTCTCCAGTCACAGTTAGATTTCGCTTAACTTTTCGCCTTGCGGTTCTAAGGCTGTCGTCGCTGAAGATGTTGCTGGAGACTGACTCGTATTCGACACTTTTGGCACGCCTAGGCACTTGGGTTACTTTGGATCTGCCTCTTAGATCGACGAAGAAGTCATCGTGGTTCGGATACTTGGAGGTGTAACGAAAGTAGGGCCGATTTCTGGCCCCATTATCGTAATCGTAGTAGCAGCAGATGTTATCGGCGGAATTAGAAGGCTTTTCGATGCAAAAGTCTTTGATAAAGTTACTGGTGCTGCTGGTAGCGTTGCTGGGGCTGATATTGTACCGGAATAGGTTGTCGTCGACAGTCTGCGATCTCACGATAGGCACACGCGGTTTTCTGTGCATCGAGCGTACAACTGCGGATTTGCTCCGTACGAGGAGATGATTTTGGGTTAGGGTTGAGGTATTGGTCGTGGTTTTAGGTTTGTTTACTATAGTGGTATCAGATATGAATGTGGCGGGATTATGATACTTATTTGATGGGGGTTTCCAGGTCTTAATACTATAACTAATTGGATGATAATGATTACATTCTTTACTTATGCTAATGCGGTTGTTTTTATTGTTAAGATTGTTATTACTAGCTTTATTTTTGTTGGTGATGCTATTGTTGTTGTTGTTATTATTAGTAGTGGTGATTATGTTGCTGATAGGTTGCTTTATTTTGTGCTTACGCCTAGTGCGTCTAATAAATAAGGGTGGTAAAGGCAAATGGGATATGACACTGGGTACCAATATGTTTTTAACTGTCGGTCTGCAAACAATTTTTTCTATTCAGTAGTCATTCTTCATTGTGTAATGACTTCAATTTTAACGCTTAATTTTGCAGTTATGGAGGCATTAAATGGACATTGGTGTGCATCACACTGCTACCTGCTAATAATGCTAGTTTTACTCCTATTGATTGATAACTAACTAATAAATTAACTAACTAACAAGCTAAGAAATCAGCTAATTGATTATTGTTATTTTGTGATGGATTTTATAACTAAAGGGCTGCACTGGAAAAATTTTATAAGCTGCACAAATTGTTATTGTTTAATTTATAAAATTATTTTGAAATTTTATTTATTTTTGGGATAATTGCATCTACGCTGCGATTTACATTTTTTTTTTTTTTTTTAATTCGTTTAGTGATAAGAATAATTAATACAATATTTATATTAAAAAGTATTTATAGCACATATATAAAAATAATTTTTGATATCAATTTAAGTCAAAAAATAAAAAAATAAAATTATTCTTAATTTAGCAGCTAAAATTTTTTTACTGCAAATATTTAATTGATTTCCTGAAAGATCATAAGCAGCTTATAAGTATGTTTCCAGTGTGCTAAAGTGTCTAATGTAATCGTATGGCATGTAATGATTAATGAGTAATGTTTAATGTAGTTAAGCAGGAGGAACGGAAGTGCACTACGGGGTCATTCCTCAGAACAATTTTAAACAATGTCCATTTAATAGGGATTAATTTAGCTTATCATTATCATTATTAGTAAGTAGTAGTAAGCCGAATTATTTAGGGGCTTCACTGATTGTAGTACCGATCATCATCATAATAAATAATGATTATTTGTTTAAGATATTGAAAGCTTGATTATCAATAGGTAGTAATACTCACATCAATGCCCGGGATCCACGAGGTCGTTCTGACTGAGTGCTAAAAGCGCTACTCGCGACAGAAATAATGCTCTCCATGTCAGAGTCCCCGAAGTCCCCAAGGACGTCTTTGTCGGGGCTTAGGTGCCCGCGACGTGTTCTGTGGTGGAGTCGGTGGGCGTGGGGTAGAGATGGTGGATCGTGACCTATTGATGACAGCAGATCCGAATCTGATCGCCCGCTGTAATGTCTTTCCCAGCCTTTACGGGATTATGGAAAACGGGATTAGTAAGTCTTTGGCAAGCTGAATTTTAAATCAACATATTTTTCATCGAAATGATCGGTTATAATTTATGATTCATTATACAGTGAAGAATGTAATGGAAAAATCATTCATCCATTCATGAAAAAAAAAAAAAAAAAAAAAAAAAAAAAAAAAAAAAATCTATAACATCTGAAGCAATTCTTTAGTCGCGAGAAATTTTCACAAGCCTACGCCATCTATCGAAAGCTCTTGGTACTAAAAAAGATATTAAGTATTTATCATAAGAATTTATCCAAGAGCAAATCTATATACATGTTTCATATATGTGTAAAATATATGATCCAGATATTGTAAAACAATTTTTTCTTAATTGATATTTATAATCACTGAGGCAACTCTTTGATAGCGAGAAATTTTTGCAAGCTTGCGCCATCTACCAAAAATTTTTCGTATTAATAAAAATATGAATATCATATATGACATTGAAACGAAGACTGAAATATTCTTTCTTTATTAAAATGATATAACATCTGAGGCAACTCTTTAGTAGCGAGAAATTTCCGCAAATATATGCCACCTATCGAAAGCTTTTGGTACTACAAAAAATATAAAGTATTTATGATGCAGATTTATCCCAAATATAACTCAGGAATTGTAAAACAATTTTTTAATAAATTTTATAATACCTGAGGCAACTTTTCGGTAGCGAGAAATTTTTTCAAGCCTTCGCCATCTACCGAAAATTTTTCGTACTCATAAAAATATGTAAAGCATACATTTATGTGACATCTATTTAGATTTTCTTACTTGAATATATTCTGGGATATATATGTTTCATATATGTATTTTTTTTTAATTTGGGGTTGTTAATAATTAAAATTGAACTTTCGCAAGAAAAATTGTTTAATATTAATATATTAGTGATTAAATAAAAAAATTACCTCCGATTCCCGTGCTTCGATAAGTAGTATGAACAAGTCTGTGTGGATATCTCATTAATCGATGTCTTTCATCATCCTGCGTCATCATCCGTTCTTTTAACAACGGCGTTTGTGGTAACTGCCGTTTTTTAGGTGATCCCGTTGGCGTTGCGGTCGCTGATCTCGACCCAAATCTAGATATATTAAAATAATTACCTAAGTATATCCAGAAACATCAATCCAATTTTTAAAATAAAGTGAACTTTAATTTTTTTTTTTTTGTAAAAATTATCTTTTTATCAAACAATAAATTACTCTCAATGTTAGAAGCTATTTTTGTCACCTTGTAGGCATGTATCCGTGGGTGTAAGGTATCGATCTGTGATCAGGCGGTGATAACGAACGATGGCCGGTCGGACTTTGTGATCTTCCCCGATAACGCAGGTAAGGCGAGTCCATAGGCGCTGCACTGTGAGACCTATGACCCATCATACTTCTGGCTGTTGGTTCGTCCTGATTACAAAAATAAATGTCAATTTTTATAAAAATTAATTAATTAATTATTAACACACAGAAAAAAATAATTTTGGAGAATGTCATCATATTTTTAAACTAAGAAATTTTTCTTGGTTTAAGTGAATTTTACTTGATTAAAGAATTGTTTTTCTTGATCCCTAATAATGAAACTCTTCAAAATTATTTTCTTGGTTCAAAAATTTTTCTCTTGGTCCAAATTAATTTTTTTTTCTGTGCAATAATAATGATTCCTACTCACTTTTCTCCATTGTGGATAGCCAGATATAGAGACTGGCTGGTCGCGTGAAATCATCAATGCAGCTCTCTTGCTACCCGTCGACGACATGTCCCGCCGACTGCGGTGTTCATTGTCCAGACTTCCATACTCTCTCTCCGGTGGCGGGCTAGAATAGTGGCTGTACCAGCATGCGTTCGTTTTTATGCATTTATTAGTGTACAGCGTGAGGGGGGATATTATTTATGAAGCGTGTGCTTTTGTGATATACCTTAATAACTAGTTGTAAGCTTTTTATTATATTTTTATTTATTCAAGTCTCTATATTTTATTTTATTTCTAATTCTCATAGGACTTTTACACTTGATACAATTTTCAGAAACTCAGATTTCAATTATGTCTCATTGAGTGCAAGAAGTGTTTATTAATAATTAATACACAACTGCAGTGTTAATTAATGATTGTAATTCTGTTTCTGTGAGTGTTTATTTTATTGCGCTATTAAATATTACGGCATTTACGGGGCTAATGCCGCTCCAGACTGATACGAAAGCCGGCTATGTAATTTTAATGATAAACCGCGGATTTATTTCAACCGCGGTTATTTGTTCAAATAAATTTATTAATTACAATTGATGATGTAAATTTGTTTTTAATCAATGATAATTTTTGATAAATTCGGGAAAATTGTATCAAATTGTCCATTTAATTTTCGAAGCAAAGTAATCTCTATTATATTTATCGTCATAAATGGTTGCGTGTCACCACATATGGCGATATGTAATCGCGTATGAGCTATTTATTGACAAAAACAAATTTTATGTGAGTTTAAATTTAAATTTTATTTACGCTAAATCAATAATTTAAAAAGTATAATTCAAATTTGATAATTTTTTTATTATAAAAAAATTTAGACACTGAAAAAAAAATTTACTAGAAATTTTTGAATCATGAAAATCGACTTAAAAGTGTTATATAATATATTTTATCGATGGAAAAAAATTTACGCTTATATATACTTGGGTGAGAATTTTCTACTAGCGAGAGCGCGTAGCCACCTAGCGGTGAAACCAAACACTAACTTCGAATAAAATTATTTTGAAGCTTGATCTGAATCTGAATAAGAAAATTAATAATTTTTATTAGAAGTTAGTTCTTGGTTTCACCGCTAGGTGGCTACGCGCTTTCGCTAGTAGAAAATTCTCACCAAAGTATATATAAGCGTAATTTTTTTTTTTTATCGATAAAATATATAATAAAACATTATTTTTAATAAAATTAATATTTTTTGTTTTTAAATCAAGAATATTTTTTTGCATACAATTTAAAACAGCAATTTTTCAGTCGATTATTTTTAATTAATAAAATTTTGCTTCGAAAATTAACCACTTAAAATAAATATTCTAAAATTGTGTTCTAAATTAATGTTGATAGCAATTTAATTTACTAAAAGCAGCATGTAATATTGTAATGATTATTTCATTAATATGCAAAGAAGCCAACGTACAATAATGCTGTTTAAGCTCCGAAAAACTTTTTGTATACATAGTACACTTTCATGATCGAAGAGTAATCATACCAATGACCTTCGACCTAATTTTCCGTGCTCAAATGAACTTAAAGTCTCGGAGAGACTTAAAAAAAAATTCTTTTTTTTATTTTTAATAAAAAAAGAAATTTTTCTACTTAGTTTTAAAAATAATTTTACGGTACAATGCGGTTAATTTATTAAAAAAAAAAAAAATGAAATAAGTAAATAAGTAGACTGAGACAAAAATGAATAGAAAGTGTGGAATTGAGTGAAGTTATTAATGCAGTAGTGAATGAGTAAAGAGTTTAAATAGAATAAAAAAGAGCCGTACCGCTTATAATTTGACGGCATATTATGAAACCTAAAAAATAATAACAAGAAACACACAATATTAAAAATTAAATTCCGTAGTAGGGTAGTAGATAGATTTAACAAATAAATAATGAGAATAATTAGTTATAAAAATATTTTATGAGCGGAGCAGAATAATGAGAGTTTATGGTATTTATAAATAATATATTTAATAATGGTAATTTATAAATATAAATATAGAAATAGATCCATGCATATACTTAAATAAAATATAGGCATCTTTAATACGTAGGCGTGCATAATTATTGATTCGAGAATGTTCTGTACACACGTAAATAATAATAATGGTATTAAGTGAGTATAAAAATAATTTATAAAGTGGAGAAAAGATGAGTCGGGAATATTGATTTAATATTAACGGGTTATTTATATACCTGCTATTTAAAAATATTTAGGGTGATATTTTATGTTTGATAAGAAATTTTTTTACGTCGTTTTATTATTTGTTAATTTATGAAGTAACGAATCATTAACGGAGAAACTCAATGGATAATTATAATTATTTCGTATAATAGAAAGTCACCGAGCTTGTAAGCTCACAGCGTTACTAAACAATCGAGTGTAATGACATCGGTTGAGACTCTGGCGACAATTAAGGGCTCATTAGTGTTTAATAACTAGCGGTAATTGTTTTATTGTCGGGTGTTAAATATAAATTGTTGTTTTTTGTGTTTTAATAATTTTATTTTGGTTAAGTAATTTAATAAATTGTTTAATCTTAAGGAATATTTTTTTTTAATTTATTTTTAATATTTTTTTTATTCAATTATTTTTATGGGAGTTTACTATTTATTTAATATTGAAATTTTACTTTTTAAAGGGAAATGAATAATAACGAGCCACTTTTTTAAATAAATATTATCAAAAACTAAGACAATAATAAAAAATATCCGATTTGATTAATAAGTTTTTATGTTATTCATTATTAATTTTTGTAAAAGTACAAATAAAAAATGTTTACTTTTAGAATAAATAAAGAAATTTAATATTTTTGAAAATTGTTATAATAAGGCCTTTTTTTACTATAGTTAAAAAATTTTGGTCTAAAATAAATTAATTCGTTTTTAAATATCAAATCTATTAAGAATAGTTTAATTATCTAAGTATGCTAATCTAGACTGAGCCGAAATAATTAACCGATAACTTTTAACCGAAGCAATTTATTGAAAAATATTAAGAGACCTTTTTAAAGAGCCTTTAATTTTCTTCAAAGATATGTACCTATTTTTCCTAATTATTGGCTCGTTTATTAGTAACAAAATTCGTCTAAAAATCAAATCGTCAAGACAGATCAATGTTCAATGCCTGATTACATAGAAACGGCTTGCCTGACAAAAATTTTCAATCAAACCTCTTTTGTAAAGCGATTAATTTCCTTAAAAAGAATGCATCATTGAAATTTTGTCGCTTGATGGTTTCGAAGTTTGAAACAGAAGACGTGTTGATAAAAAAAATCGAAAATTGCGATGATAGACCTCTTAATATCGATATTAAAGGCGCGAACTTTCACAATATTTTTTTTCATCACTTTGAATGATATTTTTTGTATATCTTTAGAAAAAAAATCAGTCGATTTTTTTGGCTCAGTCTGATGCTAAACTCATAGGGTTTATAACTCTACTACACTTTAAATTTTTTATTTTGTTTTTGCTTACAATAAAAATGACCATTATTTGTTTCTATTTTGTAGAAAATGTTGTTAATTAAAAAATTATTAACATCAAAATTTATCAATAGTTTTCTTTTCATTACAAATATCTCTTAACTAGGTCTTATTACTCGCCGATACCTTATTAATTGAAAAATTTTATGTAGCAAAAATAACTCATGAGCCTTTAATTCTATTAATAAATAAAAAAAATATAATTGCTACAATTCTTATTGATTAGAAAAAAATAATTGTTTAGAATTGCCGAGCAAAAAAATTTTGAGTTATTTTTGCATCAACTATAGACTAAAATACTTCAATTTATAATTTTGTTTTTTTTTTTTTTTTTTTTTTTTACAGTAAAATTGTTTGTTTGTATTTTATAGAAAATTTCCTCAATTAAAAAAAAATTAACATAAAAATTTATCAGCAATTTCCTTTTCATTAAAAGTCGACGGACGAATTGACGATTGATAATAAAAGTTTTATCAGTAATTGATAATTAAATAATTAATTGCCGGTCACTGATTAAAAGAGATAAGGTAAAACTTTATTAATGAATATGAATGAGAATTTTTACACAAAAAAGCGCATAATAAAATAAATAAAATAAAGGTAAATTGAGACAGCAGACGAATTAAAAACCATATACAAACAAAAAGTACACAAACTTTTTAGTATCAAGCACTCACTAGTAACGATCGGTCGTCATACTTTTCAATATTCAAATTCAAACATAACGATTATAAAAAAAGTTCAAAAAAAGATAACAATAAAAAAAGAAAATAACGACGAAAAATAAAAGAATAGTTCCGCATCTAACGGCGCTCCCAGGCCAACTGGCATGTCAATTGGCTTGTTGCCCAGTTTTATAACTCTCAGTTGTGTGCCCCCTCCTCCTCGACCCCCTCAAGAGTTTCCATACATATTTTATGCCTCCACATCTACCTACAACCCTCAAATCCTCCTCCTGCATCTCTCCCCAACTTTTTTCCTTCATTAAAAAATAAAACCTCCATTTACCTAGCTGTCATCGTAATTAAGAGATAAGTCAAGTTTTACTTTTCATTCCTCGACTATTTTTTATTGATTCCCTCCAAACTTTTTTTTTATTTTTGTTGTACATTAATCGCCTTTTGTCAATGAATGAACTCTACTGTTTCATTGGTTTTTTATCAATTATAATTTTAAACATATTAAAAAATTTTCTGTATAAAAATTTGTATTTTTTAAAGTAAAATAAACTCTCCTTAAAATTGTAGGATATTTTATAATCTATAAAAAATTTTTCAGGCAAAAATTTTTTAATTTTCCAAATTGATTTAAAAAAAAAAAAATTTTTTTTCATCTTGTTTTTTTACTTTTTTTATTTCAGGAAGAAATTTTGTTTTATGGTAAAAGAAAACTTCTGGCCGTAATTTATCCTAATTAAAAAAGGTCAATTTTTATTATTGGTCGATTTGATATGGAATGACCCTAATTTATTCATATGCGGATAATCGAGAATTATTCAAGTAGTACAAACTTAAATAGTCAGACACCTTAAATAAATTATCAATTTTATTAAATAATTATTTAATTACCCAATTTGTTTTAATTATTTCAGAAATTATGTTGAAATAAAATATTTGTATCGATCAATAAATGTCATCATCGAGAAAAAAATTTGTAATTTTATGACTCTAAAGACAAGAACATTTTTTCAAGGAGTTAAACACTATTTAAAGTCGGACAGAAGTGATATAAGAAAATTTTAAAGTTTATTATTTAACTTAATAAATTTTTATTAAAATAAAAAATCAATTTAATTTTAATATTGAGGATTTACTTTTAAAATAAATTTTTAAATAAACTATGATCGTGATTATGTAGCAAAATATTTTCTTAAATATTAAAAAATTTACAGATCTGAAAATTATTAATAAAAATTTTTTTTATTTTATAAATAATTAAAAATTTTAAATAAATTAATTTATAAAGATAATTTTAATAAAATAATTATTAATATAGGGGCGTAAGAAAAAGAAAAAAAAATATTGCGGTATTATTGCAGTGAGAATAGATTAAAAACGGCAAATGAATTATATAAAACAAGTAGTTAATAATTAATGAAAAAAAAAAAAAAAAAAAAAAAAAAAAATGTATAAATAAAATCGTCGAATTAGGGCGAAAGTCATGCAATGTCATGTAAAGTATGTAGAAAATAAAAAAGGAATAATGATAATGATAATTAACACGCGACTTAAGCAACGATCATTCACGGGTGGGACATTTTAAGCACGTTTAAATAGAGACCAAAGAGGTTTATCGTAAATTGTTATTGTAATTAAAAATGAAAAAAAAAATATCTGATCGGAGTGTGGTGAGTGGAAAAATGAAAAAACTTACCTAGATGAACTGCCGAGGCTGCTGATGCTGGCACCATCTGCGGTTCGTCTCTGATCCCGTGGTATGTCGCAATCGGTGATGTCGTACTCCGACGTATCCGAATCACTCAGACGGGATACCGTCGAGGGTGGACTGAGATGGTAATCAACTGGAGTTATCGCTATGTCATCGTATGGCTCGTGATATTGTCTGTAATTTATTATATTTTGTGTCAATCGATAGTGGAATTGGATGACAAGAGATCTCGAGTGACGTCACCAGTCTGGGCTATGGCGCGTTCCCAAAAAGACCAATTACGTTGGTATACATTTTTTTTTTTTAATTAAAATAGTTTATGTGTACTTAACACTGAGAGGAAAAATTTCTTTTGAAAAATATGAGAATTTTTGTGACAAGAAATTGATTTTTTGGATATTAATTATCTTGAGTATTAAAGAGTTAAAATTTTATATCGTCGGAATTCAGTGTAAAATTTTAATTTTCCAATTTTGAAAATACAAAATGGGTAAAATCTGTTGAAAATAATAAAACTTACCCAATTGGTCGACGTTCTTCATGCGGTACCAAATTTTGCCACAGCCACGGTGATTTTTCGTTTAAATTGTTGAGCTCTAAAATGGCCTCTCCTAAAAAGTCATTGGCCTCGTGAATTGTAAAATCCCACACTGACACCTCTAACCACTTGCGTTTCAGTTCCGACTTTCTTATATTGTAGTCGAATGTTTCGTTCCACTTGGGATCGTTTGTGTTTGCCAGGGTTTTCGTTCGTCTTTTAGACATTTCGCTGCAATTATAATATCAATATTCAATTTTTCTTATTTGTCATAAGCCACAAATAATTTAGACAGTAAGAAAAAAAAATTTTTTTCGATCGTAAAGCACTCTCTGATGCTTCGCATCATGAGTCGTGCAATTTTTAAATGAGATTAAAAGTTATCTAATTATTTTATTTTTTTTTTAAAGAAAAATGTGTTGCCTATTATCTGATTCAAGTTATCAAGAAGATTTATTTTTAAGTAGTTTATTATTTAACAAAGCCATGTAGGTTACTCTAAACTTTTTACTTAAAAATTCTTTATTCTTCATCCTTCAGATTGTTCAAGAAAATGGTAAACTCATTTTAAAATGTGTCAAATAAAGGATAACAATAATAATAATAAATTAGAAAGTTAATAGTGGCATTGGGCGGTGACATTAAGTCTTCAAGATTTTTTCGTATATTCAATATTTGACCCAGAATTTTGAGTTGAATATTAAAAATTCAAAATTTAAATAAATAAACTAATTTTATAATAATAATAATAATAATAATTGAATAAAAAAAAAGATAACAACAAGTAAAGTTGAGCGGTATAAAACTTATAGTAGAATAATTAAAGTAGTTAAAGTTTTGTGACTGACAGGTACATCCGATTGGGCTTATATTCAATGCACGATGGATTTCGATGTACTCTGACAGTGGAATATGTTAATCAATCTGTTAAATGATTTGACAACTCAAACATACTGTCCTGTCAGTAAACATGAAAACTTTGTTAAAAGCTTATTAAAGCTCTATTCCGCTTTATAACAAAACAATTTAATCGATTAATACATCTGATAGCTAATAATAATCTGTTAATATTTATTTTCGTACTTAGTACTAAGTATTGTCTGTAATTATTGATTTTTAGAGGTGGGAGTTTATTTTCCACAACTATTTTAAAGGTAATGTAAATTATGTAATGTAAATAAATGTTTATTACACGATCAATGAAGGAACTCTTGATTGCTTAGATTTAATGTACCGAGGGCTTTTCGCAGGGATTAAGCCGTGTACTCAGCCAACAATCGTGGTTTCGCTGATTCTGAGGGCTCAGCTGACTCCATTAGACGCCGTAAATAATTAAAACTGTGAAGCAGAGTATTGCCGAAGCTCCTGACCTAGCTAAGGGTATAAATACGCGATTTTGAAGCTTAACGGAGATAATATATATGAATTTCTCACTGTAAAATCTATTTTATCCGCATTAAAAAACTAAATCTCTGATCTTGAATTTTAGATTTTAAATTCGTTGATTTTCTGCAAGATAAAGTTGTAGAAGGATAGTTATAATATATACCAGCAATGATAAGCGTAAGCATAATTTTTATAAGTCAGCAAAATATCTGATAAATTGACTATTTATATATTAATATTATTTTAATATAAAAATTACACATTAATTGAAAATTTAACTTAGCATAAAGAATCGAATATTGGAGTGTTATATGCTAAATAAAATGTTAATTAAACTTACTAAGTCATAAAACTTTCCGACAATAATTCATCCGAATATCCGAAGAAGTTTCACCAATTATCGTGAACTATAAATACGAGTTATACATAATTAACATGATGTTAATAGATGGATTCGTAATAAAGTTGGTAAGAGCAATAAAGTTTATTATGGCGCCATTAGTAATATTCCATTGCAGTACACCAGTCCAACTACACTAGATTGTAACAGTAAATTTGGCACTACAGCCAAAAATTTTCTTGCTCTTCAATTTGTCGCTCATTTTCGACGCCATATACTTATTGTCATTATGTCTTTCATTTCATTATTAAAATTTTATTTATTATTATTATTTATTGTTGTTGTTGTTAAATTAAAAAATGATTTATTTATTCAAGTTGTGAATGTTTATCTTTCAATTTAAAATTATGGATGAAATTCTAGATACATAATTAAGAAATGGCTTTGTATCTTGTGAACTATTGACATTTTTTAAAATATAAACTCATCCCGATGTTACACTCATCAAGACCTTTCATTTGAGTACCCACATCAATATTTCATATATTTATATATATTATATATATGTATATATGAAAAATATATGAAAATGCATGTGGGTACTCAAATGAAAGCTCTTGATGAGTGTAACATCGAGATGAGCTTATATTTTTAAATACATCAATAGTTAAAAAAGTACAGTGCAATTTGACAAAATTCATTATTTAATAAAGCAATATTTTATTTATTTGTAGTTCTCAAGTCACATAGTGATTGCAAGGTTGCTAGTAATAATAATTATTATTATTTCTATTATTCCACTGTTGGACGTAATATTGGCAAAAGTGGACCACTGCCAAAACGACCAAAAAAAAAAGGGCAAGATCAAGACAAAGATATAAGTAATACCAATAGCAACTGCAATAAAAATAGAGGTCAAGAGTGTAATAATTTAAATGTCACTTACTTTCTGTCAGGAAGAAGATAAACTTTGGCGTAAGGATTTCGTGGTTGCCCGTTACTCCTCGGCGTTAATTCAGTAGCACGAAAAACGGTAACACTCAGTCTGTTACACGCTGGATTGAAATCTAACTTAACTTGTAACTTGCCACCAACATTCGCTATTGTCGTTGGATAACGGGGATGTCTGTTACGACTCTGCCCGTGTAGATCCGGCGATCCCGGTGATGTTACTAGCACTGATGGTTTTTCTCTCCTCACATCGTATAATTCTACAAATACAGTCGTTGTTTTTTAATAATCGCTTTTTGCACATACATTTATGCTAATAATATTTCAATATTAATAAATTACAATTTTTTATAATATTATTTTATAATTATAATCTTTTTAGAAATTGTGATTCAGTTCAAATTTTAGTTCTGAAATTTTATTGAATTGAATCAAAAAATTTAGGAGAAGTTTTTACAATGCAGATAATGCTGAAAAATAAATAAATAGATTTAATTATTTTAATATATACATGTATATTAAATAAGTAGAGTAGAAATATTTTGTAGGCTTTTTTTTCAATGCATATTTATTATTAAATTTTAATTATAACTCAAAAATTTATTTTTTTAGATAAAAAAATTTTCTTAGCTGAAATAAATATTGACAATAAAAGTGAAAAAATTTTTAAGAACCTCTTAGAAAAAAATAAAATTTTTGATTAATTATTAAACAAAAAAAAATTTTTTTTTAAATTAATTTTCAAAAAAATCTACAAAAAATTTCTTCCCTCCTTAATAATTATAATTTATAATTAAATCGGAGTAAACATAAGACCAAAATAACATCAAACATTCACCAGGTTTCATCACCAAAAAAAAAAAAAAAAAACTCCTGAGAGTAGCATTCAAATCAAAGTTTAATCACAAACTGTCGTACCTGTGAAAAAAAAAAAAAAAAAAAAAGCCAATTGTCGAGAGTTTATTTAGTAGCTTACAATATAATACGAAACGATACGATACGAGGAACGGATAAACACGGGGATCGATCGTTACGACGTGAGACAGTGAATTGAAAATCGAAAAAATATATATGTATATAAAAAAGGGACTGTCTAAGATTTACAAAGACACTGTACACCAATGCAAGGGGACGTGGTAAGTGAAACTGGTTTAAAAAAGGAGGTAAGAGATACTTGCGATGGAAACGGAATAACACGGTCGAAAAAATATAAATAAGGAGAGAAGCGGGTGTAATGGTATTTACTTTTTTATTTTTTATTTAGGTGCTGGTTATTTTATTTTATTTTATTTTTACATTTAAAAGCAAGAGTTGTTGCTCCCATAAGACTAGATTAAAGATTGTGATTTAGCGGGTGCACTTGCGCTACTCTACTTTTCCACTAGTCTACCATTCATTTAAATATTTTGATTTTTTTTTTATTTATAACACTAGTTATTAATAATCAATTCTACTTATTTTATTATTATCGGTAAAACAATAAAAATCCTTAATAATAATATATTTATCATTTTGTTTTATTTGCGGACAACAAATAGGAGAAAGTCGGGAGGTGTAACAATAGAAAAAAAAAAACGCACGGAACATTTAAATGTTTATATAAAACGCCTACCCCATAATATACATTTCTTAAGACCTGTAATGCCAAAAATTACATAAGCTGATAATAGATGTTAAGTGAAATGGGAGTAATTTTTTTGTATAATTTGTGTGGTAGTGTTAAATTGTAAAAGTGTGACTAATGGAGAAAGGGAGGCTAGGAGTATAGGTATAAAGTATTTACCTCTGTGATGAGGCTGCTGCAAAATAGGCATGGTTTCGTGGGTTTGCCGCCACTGGGCTTGCGCAGCGATGCGTCTCTGTGGTACCATTGACGTCGTTGTTGCAGAGGGTAAATTACTACAGGTTATTGAATTATTTGTTGCGTCGGGGTGGTTTTTCCCGACAATTAGTTCCACTTGATTTTCGTCCCGCGACTCCGCGATTATGTTCGCTACTTCTTGGGAACTTTTCCCTTGAAGGCAGTGCCCGTTCCAATCGATCACTTCGTCCCCTGTTTAGTCATATAAAAAATATACAAATTAAATAATCCAAAATGGTGTAATAAAATGGATTACACTGTGTTAAAATACAAGGATTAAAATTTTACACCGTGAAAATTTTCGGGTTCCATTTTTACGCAAAAATTTTTTATAGTGTATTTTATTACTTTCAAAATATTTATACTTCTTTCAATTAATATTTAAAATTTTTAATTATACTAAATTAAACTAAAAAAACCCATTTTACCCCACGTAATGACCTTGTATCTTGTGAACTATTGGAATTTTTAAAGATATAAGCTCATCCTGACATTAAACTCGTCGAGACCTTTCATTTAAGTACCCACATCAATTTTTCATATATTTATATATATATTATATATATGTATATATGAAAAATATATGAAAATGCATGTGGGTACTCAAATAAAAGCTCTTGATGAGTGTAACATCGGGATGAGCTTATATCTTTAAAAACGTCAATAGTTAAAAAAGTACAGTGCAATTTAACAAAAGTCATTATTTAATAAAGCAAAATTTTATTTAATTATAGTTCACAAGTCACGGCAGTCACATAGTCACTGCAAGGTTGCTAGTTTATATCAATTAAATAAATAATATTTAATTAACACCAAAGATAATAAAAATAGTAAAATATAAATTTACCTGGTCTCAATTGACCATCAACAGCCGCGGGTGTGCCCTCTTTGACTTTTTCAATCACAGCACCTATTCTACCGTCATCCAATAATTGTCCGCCAGCAACTTTAAGGCCCAATATACTTCCAGGTCCAGCGGATTTACGGAGAATCATGTGGACTATTATTTTCTGGCCGTCGCTGCTCGCCTGAGATTGCTAGGAACCCCCGTAAAAAATTCATTAGCACAACATGATAAAACCTCATTGCTTTTTGCTTTGTCTTTTAAATAAATGTCTAAATAAATATTAACGTGCTTACAATCGTGTTACATACAATAATTAATAAATAAAAACAATAACAATTATAAGTAAATTATTAGCAGTATGTAAATGTGTTAAAATACCACTAATTTATTTACTTAATTTTATAAATTATATTAATACACATTAGCGAATTTTATTGATAGTTAAAAAGACAGAAAACATAAGAAGCATTGCAGACAACACACACAAGCAATTTAATTTATAAATTCACGTAATAAATTAATATTGAGAGGACAAAGATAAATTTTTTCATGCGAAAATTAGTTTTTCTTTTGTGTAATTTTATATGTATATATATATATATATTTACAAGTATTGTTTTTTTTATTATAATAATTGTTATTATTATTGATTTTAAAGTGACGTTAATAAAAGTGTGTGTGGAAAAAATTATACTGTGTAATTCGGCAAAAAAAATAATAAATAAAATAGCCTAATTATTAATTGGGTGGATTTAAAAAAAAATTGTCCCTAGGTGGATCTACTTAAGGGATGGGGTCGCTAATTTTTTTATTATTTGTAATTATTGCCAGTGATTTAACCAACGCATTTCGGTATTGACGTTGTAGAGTTTAAAATATAAAACAGTGAAGCATAATTTTACTTTTTACAGTAATTTTATTACACTGCAGTGGTTTTTTCTTGGAACGCGTTTATCCTTAGCTCCCACGTACGTCTTGAAGAAAGTGTGTATATGTGTAAGTGTATGTGGGATGTGCGGAGTTTTCAAATCACTTTTTGGTTCTTGCCAAAAAGTTTAACAGGGTCAGCAATAAAACTAACTTCAGTAAAATAAAACAATTTTAACTACATGGACTTCTCGTAGAAATATTTTTCTTCCATTACAATGTACATTCTATATAATATTAATATAATAATAATACTTCATTTGTATTTAACCCGTTTTTTATTTATTTGTTATTATTATTTTTTTTTTTAATTAATTTTTATCCAGAATCTTGATATTTATTCGCTGTATTTTAATTTAATTAATTTAATAAGCTTGCGCTCAATAGAATTGACTTTGATTTAAATAAATGTAAAAATATTAATAAATTTAAAGGTAAATAAAATGCTAAGATAGCTTTGACTACTTGTTTGCTCTAATTAAATTACTAGTTCCAATAAAGTATAAATATTTTTAATTTATTATAAAAGTTGCATCATTGGGAAAATTTTTTATCAATTATTTACAACGATTTTGTATTCACAGAAAAAGATAAATATTCTTGAGCTAAAAAAAACTCGATTTTATTGCTTCAAGAATTTTTTTTCTTGGTTTTTAAATTATTACTTCAAAATCTGGTGCTTGGTTCAAAAGTATCTTTTTAACTCAATAAAATCTAATTCTCAAATTAACAAATATATTTTCTTGAGACAAATAAAAATTTAAACACCAGAAGGCGCGTCAGCAAACAACAGCCGTATTTCTGATGACACTTGCCATTTTTTTTTCGGTTAGTTCTAAGTTTTCATTCTTTACGTTAGAAGACCGTCTTCGCGTTTAATTATTATTGTAAGGCATAAATAAATCCTATTTTTATTACAACAAAATCCAATATAATTAATAACTACTAGGTGTAGAGATTTATCCAACTAACGTATGTAATTGAAGATTTTTATTTACTAGACAACCTAAAAGTGTCTGTCGTTGATAATTTAGTCTTGAAATATTAAAGATATTAAACAATAACTAGTTTCTTATAATTGGAAAATTGCTTATGAAATAAAATGATCCTTACATCATCACAGGAAAATTATTTTTATATAAGAAAAATAATCTACAGTGTTTAATTGTAACTACATGTAATCTACAATGTTTGTAAAAAATAATTTTTATTAATAAAAAAATTTATTTAATTTTATATTCAGGAATTTTTATGAGTATTGTAAAAATTCAAAATCTTTATTTGAACCAAGTATTTTTTTTTTTTTTAATAATAAATCTATAGAAGTGCATTACTTAGAACAAGTTCAATTAAAAAAAATTTTTTTTTAATTATAATTACATTTTTAAACAAATATTCTTAGCACTTAATCATTTTTCAAAGCTAAAAATTAATACCTGTTTTAAAAAATTATTTTTGCGGTATTTATCAATGAAACATTTAATTTTATTTTAAGAATTTTTGAAATTATAAAAATCTTTTAATTAACAAAAAAAAGAATCTAAAATTTTCAGTAAAAACCCCACTGGAATATTAATATAAAAATAAAAAAATAAAAATCTGTATCAAATTCATTTGGCGATTTCAAATGGAGTGCGATAAAAAAATTTAATCTCGCTGGAGAAAATAAATAAAAAAAACAACACAAAACTTTTGATATTGCAACCATTTAAGTCTTTTTAATCTCATTGATCGTTAAAAAAGTTATAACTGAGACGTGATTCCGATACAAATAATTTCAACTTGTTGGATACTGATACATCTATAAATAGTTTATTAATTATCGACTCGTATGTGAACGGTCTCATCTACGAATTATTAAATTAAGATTAGTTAAAGTGAATTTTAAATCACCATTTTTTTTAATTCGTTGTCTGGCGAAGAATGATGCAACTCGAAAATAAATTTAAAAAAAAAAAATGCTCGCACACTACAATATTATTTATAATTGTGAAAATGAATGCTTCTTGAAACATTCGGTTATAACTTCGGAAGAATGCAATCGAATACGTAATAGGTATGCAATATGAAAGTGAAACCGGCTGGCGAAGCCGTACCTTGGGTAAGTCACCTCGGTTGCTGTCTTCACTGCTCGTGAAGGTACTCGAGGTGTCTATACCGGAATCTTTGGTGGCGCTATCTTGACTACCCTGTCGGTCAGCCTCCCAAGACCAATCCTCTTGTTCGCCGGCAACATTGGTCCCACCGTCAAAACGCACTGTCTTTTTCCCCCTTCTCTCAGTGAACCTGATGGGTGTGATTTTTATGATTTATGCTACGGTTTATTATTTTGTGTTTTTTTTTTTTTTTTTCAATAATTTCAGGTTATTTTTTTCAGACTTTTAAAAGTTTTTAAGTCCCATTTTTTTTTTTTTTTTTTTTCAGAAAATTAAAAGCACATTTTTTTTTTCAATTAGTTAAATAAAAAAATTTTTTATTTTAAATTCATTATTTTTTTTAAGATTTGAGATATTTAGTCTCAATTTTAAAACTTAATTTTTTTATCAGTAAAAATAATGATTAAATTTTTTCTTTTTTTTGATTAAAAATTTCTCTTGAATCAAATTAATTTTTTTTTTCTTTTTTGAGTAATTAAAAACTTTTTAAACACCCAAATTTTATTAATTTAAATATTAAAACACAAAATAATAAACTAATGATGTATGAAAGTGATAATACAATAAAATAAAAATGAAAGTTCTATTAAAATCTGACATTTAACAATATTTTCCATCCCCACAATCAATAAATTATCTTTTCTCTCGATAATAAATTCCCATTTAAAATTTCCCCAATTAAATTTCCCAAGACATCATTCTCTTGTTTTTAAAATCTATTTATCCTTGCATAAAATTAAAAAAATAGTTTTGTGTGCTAAATGAACTCGAGGACTTAACTTTGAATAAACAAACAGTAGAAATTCATAATCTTTAAGTTCTCTTATCGGACAAATTCACTGAAATCCGTCAAAGAGACTCTTGTATTATTTATAATACAAAGAACTTGTATTTCTTCCATTCCATTTGAATAGTTGATAACATTTATGAATGCAATAAGCGTATAACGTCGTTATTCAGGTATTTATATTTAAGTACCAAGTGTTATTAAATTAATAAAGCAATTTAACGTTTGGAAATACAAGTGAAAAGGAGGAATGAGAGAGAATAAATAGGTCAATTAAATAAACCTCAATTATTAAATAAAACCTCAATTATTTTGATATTTTAAAAGATTAATTCCAATTTAATTGGATCCTCCACTTTTTTATTACTCTTGAAAATATTTTCTTAAATATTCATATACGGCCATATTAGACCATATATATGCGTATAAAATTATACGTCAATTAATATGCAAAATTAAATAAACATTTAATTAAAAATTAATATCAGATAAGCTCCGTAAGAAAATCAGAATAATTAATTTTTTTAGTAGAACTCTACTAGGGAGACAATTTAGTGGCCATGTGCCACCTGTTGGAAGTTTTAAACACTAACTTTAGCCAAAAATTTATATATGGGCATTTTTTTAATTAAATATGGTCATATATACCTACACATAATTTTTCGACCAAAAGTAGTTTTAAAAATCTCCAACAGATGGCGTATGGCGTTAAATTTTCTCGCTACTAGAGATTTAAGTTTTTAAATATAAATTATAATTATAAATTTTTCATTGAACTTACCTAACATTGATTTTTTTGTTTAAGCAATTACTAAACCAATTTTTGTTTAATAAATCATATTTATCGACGTATATGATTCTATAAAAAATTAATATTGAAAATATTTTTTTTGTAAATTATTTAAAAACTGACAGATCACAAAATTATTTTTCGGGTAATTTTTTATCTTTTAAATTAAAAAAACAGAGAACAATGTCCTTGTGAAACCTCGCTGAAAAAATAAAATAAAAAACAACCGATAATAAACATAAGTAATAAAATAACTAAAGGAACTAAAGTATAAAAATAAAAAAACGCACCTCCGACTGTCGGCGCGCCATTCATCCCCACTTCTCCGGAAGCTCCGTCTTACAAGGGTGTTTTCTTCTTTTCGGGGCTCTCGCGGTGGATGGTGACCATTAAATTCGGTGGTTATCGTGCCAGAGCCGGTGACATGATGTCCATTGTGAGGGCCAAGTCTGCGAGAGCCACCGGGTATCGAAGCTGAGCCTCCCACATGATGATAGTACCCCTTCCCTACAGTAGATCCAAAAATCTTTCCTTGTTTCTTTCTTTCGTTTACGTTCGATTTATTATTTATTTATTTTTCTAATCATAATTATAATCATTATCAATGCAAGGGGCCAGCCCTTGCATTTCAACCCAACCCCATTATTCAATACTTCTATCTACCCTCCATAGCTGAGTCCTATCTACAGTCGACAGTTTTCACTTTCTAGGTTGTTAAAGTCAATTCCAGTCAAAAAATATGTATTAAATTATTTAATATTTGGCCGATAGTTTATAATGGGGTTATAAAAACATACAATGTGCTGTTCTGTGCCGACGACGTTTACTGGAAGTGTGTAGAGCTGTGTATGTTCATTATTATAAGTTATTATAGAAAAAAAAAAATTATTTTTTATTACTAACTCTCATAAACTCTGTTGTAAAAATTTTTTCGGTGTTTAATAATAAATAAATATATTAATCAATTAATTAAATAATTTTACGCATAACGATATACCGCGAAAAATTTTAAATATAAATTAGAAAAAATAAAATATAAATCTATATCGATGAGCTTATATCTTTAAAATATATATTACATATTTAAGAAATGATTTTGTATCTTGTGAACTATTGACATTTTTAAATATATAAGCTCATCCTGACATTATAGTCATCGAGACCTTTCATTTAAGTACCCACATCAATTTTTCATATATTTATATATATTACATATATGTATATATGAAAAATATATGAAAATGCATGTGGGTACTCAAATGAAAGCTCTTGATGAGTGTATCATCGGGATGAGCTTATATCTTTAAAATTGTCAATAATTAAGAAAGTACAGTGCAATTAAACATAATTAAGAAATGATCCTGTATCTCGTGAACTATTGACATTTTTAAATATATAAGCTCATCCCGATGTTACATTCATTAAAACCTTTCATTTAAATACCCACATCAATTTTTCATATATTTATATATATTACATATATGTATATATGAAAAATATATGAAAATGCATGTGGGTATTTAAATGAAAGCTCTTGATGAGTGTAACATCAGGATGAGCTTATATCTTTAAAAATGTCAATAGTTAAAAAAGTACAGTGCAATTTAACAACAGAGTTTTTAATGAGAGTTAATACTTGAACTTAATTAAAGATAGTAACAGAAATAATAAAATCGAACATGTTAGATGTATCGCATCTATGTGTACGTGTGCCAAAGAAGTCTTTGTGTTCTTGTTTAATTACAATAATTGAAACTTTAAACATATAAATAATAATTAAATATAAACAGAGAGCCCTACTGATTATATTCTGTGTGTTGACCATTTAAGTGTTATTTTTTTTACATCAAAATAATTAAAAATACTATAAAAAAATGATCAATGAGCACATAGGACATACATGCACTCGCACACACAGACGTACACATAATATTTAAATAATTTATAGAGATATAAATATATACGATCGACAATCGACAATATAAATAAACAAATTGAGTATCAATTTAATATGTTAGTACAATATAGAATAATAACAATAATAGTACGAATAAATGAATAGAGAGGCATTATATTATGTTCAGCGAGCGATAGTAAATGATTACGACGATATAGACATATATAGTATCAAATATATAATATGTATATGTGTGAAATCGATAAATAAATCACAATAAATAAAATAAAAACGAAAAATCATTTATTAATATAATGGTACCGCGAGAAATTTCTTCATCTTCTCGTCGAGCATCGCTTGCCGGTAAATTCGGTCACCAGCTTTACTCCTGGGGCTCCTTGGGCTCGCGACTATTGGCGCTCGCTTTTCACCTAAAATTCCAGGCTACTTAAGTACAAATAGGAACTAAATAGAAACTCCATGAGAATAAATCAAAACAATATGATGGTTTTTTTTTTAAATTGTTTCCAGAGCTATAAAACAGTTTAGTTTTGTGAATATTCAATAAATAACTCTTTATTATTTCCGTAATCTTTTATTCGGGAGTTTTATTGCTATTTTTATTAAAAGTCATTGGCTTACTAAACTACCAGAACTGCGACTACGATAAGAGCCAATAAAAATGACAAATTGAAAGTACGATCATGGCACACGTATTATTTTTTTTTTTCCATCGCGTGTTTACTTTACTTCTTTTTTTTGTCCCTATTCTCTCCCGAGCTATTTTAATCTCTTTTTACCCCGCTATTCTATGCATGTACTTTCATTCGTATGTATGTATATTTACTAATCGTAGAATATTTGAGTTCCCCAGATGATCCCAAGTTAAACAGCTGGAAGTATTAATTGCTAAAAAATTTTATCAATCTAATAAACTTTTTTCGTAATTTTTAATATTGGAGAAAAATTAATGGGGGAATGTATGTGAATTTTTAAACATGTTTTAGCGTATGAATACTAATTTGAGATTAGTAATTAGGTTTTAATTTTTATGATTCGAGTTTTAGATTTTTTTTTATTATTTAATCTCATAAAAAATTTTTTATTTTGTTTGGGTAGAATTTATAATTAAATCGATTTTGAAGTTTAGTAATTAAAATAGTTAATTTATTTAAAGAGTATTTAAAAAAGTTTCTACTAAAAAAAAAAAATTCTCTTAATTGAAGAAAAATAAAAAATTTCAACCTAAAAAAATAAATTTTAAGAGAAAAAATCACCGGAACAGGAAAAAACGTTCTCTTTAAATAATTTTGATCGAAGATCAAAATTATTACTCTTAAACCAAGTAATTTTTTTTTCAATATACACGAAAAAAAGCAAACTAATAAATAATAGTCGATTTATAATAAGTAATGATCAACTGCTAAAAATTAACATTTCAAACAGTAAAATCGTGATTTTAATAATCACTATGTAATATTTATCATTCATTAATAATTAATAATTTTGACTTTCATATTTATCATTTTGTAGCTAAAAAGTAATCGCATTATATGTAAAAAGTATAAAATATAGTTGCTAAATTTCTAATACAAGCAACTTCAATATTTACAAAGTAAAATTGTAAGTCTTAAACGCAACGCTGAAAATCAAACTATAATTATTGACTTTCTTGGACTGGTAAAATATATATTTTAAGAGTAGAATTTTTACTGTTTCAAATGTTAAATTCTCCCAGTGTGAGACCCCCTTCTCCTCATCTGAGTTCCCCCTTCTCTTCATAGTATGGACTATATATTGAAACGGCAATTTTTACTGTTTGAAACTGTAATTTTTTAAGATGAGAGAGTCGTTATTTACTATAGTGACAGCTATTAATCATTTATTTTCGATATTAAATTATAAATTGTGGCTTTTACACTTTCTACATTAAGTTCTGTAATATTTATGTGTTTGCCACCCCGACGTCCGCTTTACTGTTTGAAACTATAAAAATTAACCGGAATCCAAGTGAATTTTAGTTAACTTTTTTCCGTGCACATAATATTAAAATTCTCATATTATCTTTTTTTATATCTTAAATACATGTTTACATAACAGAGTGACAGTAAACAGAGTGACAGTAAACAATAGCTAAATAATTGAATCCGACTTTTATATCTATTCGCTCGGCTCTAAATTCCAGAGCAATAAATACTCCCCAAAGAAGTTAAGTACAAGAACAAGTGTACTAGCTCGTGAACGCCCCTGTATACATACATACATACATATAATACATAGATCTGAACAGTAAAGAGAAAAGTACAGTAGAAAAGCTCTGATCCTAGTCTCCGAGGTCTTAATTTAGAAGTTAGATGACACCGGCTCACCACAGATAAATCAGCATGCTTATATTCCTCTTGCCGTTCGAAATTCTTATATATGTACTAAAACGTAACACCTCCCGGCTGATTTCTGCCCGCCCAGACTTCCAGAGACTCTTTTATCGCACCCGTGCCGCCATCTAAGCTATTTAACGGCGAACTTACGCGCAACTCTCAAGGTACACAGTATATAAAAGACAAATAATATATAATCTAAGATATGTAAGTCCCTAATGAAAATTTAATTAATTAAAAATCTCCCTAAGCATCTACATCTTGTGACGAATAAATAATAAATTATAATTAATAAATAAATTTCTCCTATTACAAAGTATAACAAAAAGCACACTTACCTCATTGACAATTAGTACTACAGTTCTAATTTTCTCTATTGTCTAATTAAATTGTATTCTTATAATATTTATGTATATGTGCATCTACAAATGGGAGCAACAACACCCTTTCTTCCCATATTTTCACATCGGTAATTTTTTTTCTTATCCTTAATATAGTTTTTTTTTTTTTTTAATATAATTACAGTAATTGTTTATCTGTTGGTACAAAAAATTATAAATTTGATAAAAAAAAAATTTTTTATTCGGAAAAGTTGACCTGAAAATTTGAATTTTTATTTTTTACTTTTTAAAATTGTTAAAAAAAATTAATTTTAATTTTTTTTCTCTACTAAAATTTTTTTTTAAGTCAAAATTTTTCAAGTAATTTTTATCCTACCAAATTAATGACCCAAAAGTGCAATCGATCTGATATAAACAAACTAACCCTATAAATATTCGCTTAAAAATTTAAACATAAACAATTTATTTAAATAAACACCAATATTCACTATTGGAAAATGAAACTCAACTGAAGAATTATTTTACAATTGCAACTATACGCACATGTATATATTTCAGCACGTATGAGTGTCTGTGTGTGGGGTTGTGCTAGTGTACATCCATGTGGGAAGTGCCTCTGGCATTCTTTTCTCTGAGTTGACATTTTCTGGTTACACATAGCCCCATATTATCTTTTATTTTCGCCCAGCTAGCGTTAATAAATCATAAATAAACACATATATACCCATACTTATAACTTACAAGCATAATAGAGGAGTATTCTTCCATTGAATTTTGACTTGCACAAAAGGTAATCGAGAAAAGAAGAAATCTATTGAGGAAAATAAAACCTAAAAAAATCAATTTTCTTGATGCCTTGAGCGCAATGCGCGGAGGTTACGCTCTACCCTCTATTTTTATTCGGAAATTAAATTAGAAAAACATTTTTTTGGAGAGTAAAAGGTCAAATTTAATTTTTTAAATTATGTCGGGAAATTTTTTCGTGATGTAAACTCTAAAAACTTTAATTGCAATTAATTTTAAATCTTTATTTTTGAAATATTGGCTTAAAGATTAAAAATACGATAAGATTGATGACTTATTCCGTAAAAAAATTAATCCTCTGCTAACAAGGCCTGATATAATTATTCTTTATTTTTAATATTTTTGCCACAAGCATAATTTTAACCTTTTTAAAATAATCTTTTATGATTTTTCTGTATTTACAATATTTTAGCCACAAATATTTCAATATTTGGCCTATAATTTAGAATTGAAAGATAAAATTTCCAAATTTTAATAAATAAATTAAATTTTAATTTTATAATAATAATAATAATAATAATAATAATAATAATAATAATAATCATAAAATTGTAAAGGAGCTTTTATTTAGGGATTTAATACGCTGGTTAGGAAAATAGAAAAAGAATGAAGAGGATACGCAAAGAAGTAGAGGGTCGCTGATGTTTCAAGGAGTGAGCATAGCGTCTAGTCCGACTTTATGGATAATGGTGAATGTATACGCTAGTACACTAGAGTCTATACTCTATGCTCTGTACTGTGAATGATGTACATTGGATGTTTGAGTTTCGCCCACGTGTTGGCCGCGTGACGTCATGCAAATAGCGTAGGCGTCCCAAGAACTGGTAACGGGGGAGCTGAGTGGAGAGGAACTGCGGGACAGAGCAAGAAGACGGGAGGAAAACTGGGAGTTTGTATGCTATGGTATTATATATAGATCTGTACATATATATTAATGGAGGCTGTTGGAGCACAGAAAGAGGACGTAGGACGTAGGACGTAGGACGTAGGACGTAGGAGACAGTGTAAGTGGTGGTGGAGAATCGCCGGGATCAATGCAACAACCGTTCCGGGATAGTATAGGGAAGATAGGGAACCCGAGAATTCCCGCATGATGCGAGCGGTACATTCCTCGATACGTCCGATCCTCGATATGTACAGGCTGATGTAGGCTGGAATCAGATTTAACCGACAACTACTATACTCCTCGTCACTTTAACCATTTAGGGTTTAACATTGTACTAGGCTTCCGTATTGGAATTCTAAGATTTGGATGCTTTTGTATCACCGAAATTACGGTAATGCTCATGTCTTCAAAAATTACTCATCAAGCTCAAAGATTTACTCAAAATAAAAATTAACTGACAATCTTGGGCCAAGAATTTTTACAAGAAAAAAATTTTCTTATATATCGACGATCTAATTAGCAATTGGTCTCTCCTTATTTTTTAGAGGGTGATTTTTTAACATTTTGATTTTTCTTTTGCTCAAAATATTGTTATTTATCCTGAAAAAAAAATTTATGAAAATTTGAGCCCTTAATTTTAATTCAATTTTTAACTTCCCGCTAAGAAAATTGAAAATTTTCAAAAATCGCGACTATTCGAAAGGACGACTAAACTTATATTTTGAATACAATTTGAACCGGTAGATTTTGAGAAATCTCAAAAAAACTGCAAAAAAATTTTTTTTCACATGTGGTTCTTTTGGAATAACTTTTAAACGGCTCTATCGATCAATTCCAAAAACTAATCAGCTCTCAACATAAAAAATTACGTCGATCATTCATTTATTCAGAAGTTATTGCGGCTTGAAAACTCAAAAAATAGTGTTTTATCAAACTTCTATTAAAATTTTAAGCTCGAAGAGCTCAAAAGCATAGAATAGCTTACTTTTTGAGCTCAAAATAACACATAAATTATATTTTCGAGCTCGAAGAACTCAAAAACGTCATAAGTGCAATTTTAAACGCTTAGATATGGAATTAGCGGGAAGTTACAGGGATGGCTTTTAGGGTCAACTGTTTTTTCAATTTTTTGAACAAAATTTATGATTTTTTTTCAATTTTCTACAACTTATCAGCATTTAATACTACTGCAATGGACTAAAGTGCAATTTGTGGACAATAAAAGACTCTTTGAAAGTACTTATAGCTGATTGACAGTCAACTTATGTATATTTTGGTAAATACACATCACTATAGTCAATTTTTTGTAGATAATTTAATTTTCAAAAAAAAAGTTCTTTTACAATAATGCTCTTAAAAGCATTATTTAAAAGATATAGAGCATTTTGCAAAATAATTTAAGAAGTAATCATTATGAAGTAATTTTTGAAATTGACGCGAATCAAGCAGGAAAATTTTTAAATAAATTTTGCACTTTGATTAAAAATGATCGAACTTATTAAAATGGTTTTTTTGGATCAAATTTCTTCTAAAACGAGTTAATTTTTTTTTTTTTTTTCAGTGTAAATAATTAAATAAAATTGAACTGATATAAATCGAAAAGTATAAATACATCGTGAATAAAATACTAAGTTAAATTTATCCTTCTTAAACATAAAACAAAGTAAAGACTATTACGGTAATAGTCTGGTCGTCTTTAAGAATCTAATAATCGTATAAGATTACAAAATTCAATTATAACAAAGTGAAATAAATAAGTAAGCACTCTTCCTTAGTCCGGCGTACAGAGAAAAAATTCCGTATACATAAATAAATATATATTTGATAAATTCTTATATACATATTACACGCTCGCCGATGACATTAAAGTTAAACAAGATTATTGTCAGGCACAGTACATTTAAGTCTTCAATTGACATTAATAAAAAACCGAACGGTAATTTATATATTACAAAACACAAAATGAATCTGACCTTTATCTCCAGCCTATATATATTTTTTTATCCTCCTTTTTTCTTCCTATTTCGTTCTTTTTTTTCCTCAACCCTTCGAGCTGATATATATGGACGTGGAAAAAAATAATTACCAAGAGGCCTTGGGTATTTCTGATACCCTATGCAGCTATGGTGTTATTGCACGTGGTTGGATGTATTACGGCTCGTTTGTTTTGTGTCTAATCAACTATAAACTGCCCTATAGTCAGCACTAGTCCATAACTACAGCCCTAAGAGTCTATGCTTAAGGGTTTTCCAAAAGATATTTAAAAATACCTACTGAGCTTTCAAAGAACAATTTATTTCAATCATTAACAATTCTAAAATTTTTATGAAATTAATTGTGAAAACATATTGTGTACAGACATTAGAAATTTTTTTGAAGCCCCCGGCGGGTAATTAGGCTTAGCTAAGGGATTTTTACTCTTAAAAAAAATTTTATTTGAAATTACTGTAAATATAACAGTAATTGCAGGACATTTGTAATTCCTGAGTTTAATTAGAATTTTTTAAAATAATTATTCACAAATATAATGTCAAAAAAATTATAGCAAAGTACCTTTTATTTTTACTGTAGTGTACCGGTAAATTATAATAATAATAATAATAATAATAAAATTGATAAATTTTTTATAATCTTTAAATTAAATTTTTGAAGATATTTTGAAATTATTATATAATTTTTAAATATTATTTTTAAACTAAGACACAAAAAATTTCATTAAAATCGGTCCAGCCGTTTAGGAGGAGTTCAACATTTTCGTGATCAGTTTTGGCTAAATTACAATTAATTCTAACAAACGTTTATATAATTTTAATTTTAATAAAATGTCATACAATTATTTAAAAATTATTTATAAAAATATACTTAAATGTCATTTATAATTGTTTGTTTCTATTTTATTGATTTTTTATCCAAAAAAAAATTCTTTAATCTATTATATCTGTTACTATATTATTAATTTTTTTTCTTCATTTTTTATAAGAAAATTATTAATTTACCTAATTTAATAAATTTTTTAATTGAAGTTATAGAGTTATAAGAAGAGTTTAATTTTTTATTAAAAGGCCTTAACAAATATTCCTTAACATTTAAAAAATTTTTATTAATCTTGAATGAATCGTGATTAATAAATATGAATGAAAAGTGAATTATGTATCGTAATCAATAAATTAGTTATTAATTGTCTAATGAAAAAAGTAATTAATTAACAGATAAAAAAAGCTTATTAAATTCTAATAAATCTTTTAAATTAATCAATAAACACATACTGTTTCTTTATAAGAGATCGATTGCACTTATTAGACGCGATAAACTTGAATTAATATATAAATAATAATGAAAATGGTCATATCAAAAGAAAACAGAGTAGAAGTTGTGTTTGACCACAAGTGGGTTAATTACCCGTGACTCGCTGAAAAAAGGCAGATCAAAAAAATAACTTTTAAAAAAAGACTCACCCTTTTCCGACTCATCAGGTTCATCGCTTGCACACTCAGGTGTGCTTCGTTCCTCCTCACTGCTGCTGAAACTGCGCTGCTGGTGTAATTGCCCGGTATTTTGACCAGTTGGTGGGATTGCTTGCGACAGATGTTTCCCTTGTACCTGGTGAATTTGATGCTGCTGTGATTGATGCACTCGCGAGTTGTCCACACCCGAGTGACCGTAAGTCATCGGCATGTTGGAATTCTGCTCCTGGAGAAAGTCCGAAATTTTTTTTTTGGAATTTTGGATTTTTTATAGTTGGCAATTTGACTAATTAGTATTGTTAGTTAAAAATAACCTGATAAATTTGGCGAGATCGTTGATACATTTGGGCGTGCTGCTTCATCAGACCGTCCAACTCCCCTCGGTAGATGTTCGGGTCGTCTTCGGGAAAGGCCGCTGGGTGACGAGGTGTTTGTTGAGGATATGACCCCACGACCACGTGAGGTGTTGGCAGACTACGCGAGTGAGGTGATACTGACATTTCTACGCCGCTGTCACTTGTTGACAATCGACGATTTGGAATCTATCAAATTTAGTTATAAAGTTCATTAATTTATTTTAATTTTAATTTTTTGCGACAACTGGATTCAAATTTTGAAAGAGCGTAGCTCTAATTTATACACTTTTGATTTTTTTTTTTTTGAAAAGCCATAACGTTAAAATTGAGAAAAAACTTACGATGTTTTATTAATCAAAAATTGGTTAAGTAGTTGATTGATCTGATCTTAAAAGCAATGTCAAATAAGCCCCTTAGAAAAGTCAAAAAAATTATTTTTAGTTCATGTAAACTTAAGATTTGAAACTCAACTCTCTTGTAGTGATACAACTTAGCGATAATGTGCCACCTTTTGGAAATTATTTACACTATCTTTGGATTAAAAAATTATCCATGAGCATATCAGAGAATTTTTTCATGGATAGAAATATTTCGATTTCACACGGGAAAAAGTAAACTGTAAAATTTACTCGGATCCCGGTTAATTTTTATGGTTACAAACAGTAAAGCGGACATCAGGGTGGCAAAAATATAAATATTACAGAACTTAATGTAGAAATTGTAAAAACCACAATTTATAATTTAATATCGAAAATAAGTGATTAATAGCTGTCGCTATAGTAAATAACGATTCTCTTAAATCTCATCTTAAAAAATTACTGTTTTAAACAGTAAAAATTGCCGATTTAATATAGTCCATACTATGAGGAGAAGGGGGTCTCACACTTGGAGAATTTAACATTTGAAACAGTAAAAATTCTATTCTTAAAATATATATTTTACCAGTCCAAGAAAGTCAATGATTATAGTTTGATTTTTAGCGTTGCGTTTAAAATTTACCATTTTACTTTGTAAATATTGACGTTGCTTGTATTAGAAATTTAGCAACTGTATTTTATACTTTTTACTTATAATGCGATTATTTTTAGGTACGAAATGATAAATATCAAAGTGAAAATTATTAATTATTATACTTTAACATTTTCGACATTGACATAGCCAATATTACTGTTTGAAATAGTATTTTCTTCCATTTAAAGAATAAATTGTGGCATTTGAATGATAAATATTACATAGTGATTATAAAAATCACGATTTTACTGTTTGAAATGGTAATTTTTAGCAGTTGATCATTACTAATTATAAATCGACTATTATTTATTACAGTTTACTTTTTTCCGTGCACAGAAAAAAAAATGTTCTTGAATCAAGTATATATTTTTGAAGAGCTCATTATTCTTGGTTTGAGTAGAAAAATTATTGATTTAAGAAAATTTTTCTTGATTTAAGGAAATTTTACTTAATTCAAGAAATTTTTGTCTTGCACTGAAAAAAAAGTTTTTTTCCTCCTAGAAAACTTTTTCCTGTGGTTAAAAAAAAAGTATTCCTAAAATAACAATACCAAAGTTTACTATCCATAGGAATAAGTTTACTGGATATAAAAAAACTTGGTATTCTCATTATTAAAATACTACAATCAATATGGCCGACTTAACCTCGCTTGGTCGACACGAATCTTTAGGATAGATAATTATGAGAAACTATACTATTTATAATTCTTCATTTATAAACAATCTATCACACTAAAATTAATATAAAATGATAAATTGATTTGCTAAAATGAGTTATAAATTTGTTGAAGATGATAAATTCCACTCTGACAACTTCTTTTGCATCCAAGAATCCATATAAGTAAGGGAGTAAGGGGAAGTAATATTAATAATTAATACTTTTATTTATAATTTATAAATTATTTAATTTACACAAATAAATATTAAGGTAAGTAGACTCAGGCACGAGGTAAACTAATAACTAAAAAACACGCGTACACTGTAGATTCGAGGAAAATGACAAAATAGTGGCGCCACCGTCACGGTTGCTATGGTAACATAGAATTTAGTTTTATTCCTGTTAAAAAACTTGGTATTCTCAGATTTAAAATACCAGTTTTCTTAAATCTAAAATATTTAACTTGACTTTTACTTCGTACAAGAAAATTCGACTAAAAAATATTCAGTATTCCGGGTATAAAAAAACTTTTTTTTCAGTGTGATTCAAGACAATTACCTTCTTCAAAATTATATTTTTGGTTCAAGAATTTTTCTCTTGAATCAAGTTAAATTTTTTTTCTGTGTGCATTACTTTTGGATTTTCCAAACTTTTTTTATCCTTTACAATATATATCACTTACTAACATAAATAAAAACTAACAATTAATTGACAATCGGCGATTAAATACTCGTAAAATGAAATTCACGATGGGTTACAATTTACTAGATAGCTGAACTGCAAAAGTACAACGACAACCACTATCACTATCACAGTCCGAGTAGCAGCATCTGTTTATTGAACTTTAATGGCTTTCAGTACTATTGTGGTTCTTGTGTGCGAAACTTTTTCATTAGTCGACCGGAATGATCGATTCACACTTCGCACCTCGACATCACATGCATGTATATGTTCACATATATTGTCCGTATATCTATATCTATAAAGCTACTTTCCTCAATATCAAATTGAAAACAGCCTTACCGAAACCGAGTCGCTTCAGGCGGTGGTCGTTCACCCCGAAGATATTTCTGGCAAAAAACTCACCGGAAGATATAACTATATAACTATATAGCTATACATATACATATATAGGGAAAAAGTGAAACTAATGTAAGAGAGCGGAGGGCGACGGATCAAAGTTTGCTTCTTTTATTTTATTAAATATATCAACACCCGGGGGAGTTTCCACATAACGCTTCCACGAAAGAATAAATAAAGTTGTTAAAATATAAGTATGAAGAGCAAGTGCGAGTATACCAATACCGCGATACAAGATACAACTTGATACTTTGCACTGATAATGCACTCAGAGTTACGACTGCCGGAGGTACACTATCCAAATTCCACTATCGGAAGAGGAAACTTGGTTCCTTTGTATATGTGGGTGATACAATATGATGTAATGGAGTTTTACGGAAACTATCGAAACTTTGTCGTTCATCGTCCATAATCTCCAAACTCACTTTACAGCTTGCCAATTCATTTTAATAAAATAAATTTGTTATCATTTTTTATAAGCAATATATGTCAAATTTAAAATTATAATGATTATTTATTTTTTATTGCAAGTTTTAAGCGCTGATATATATACATTACAAATTTCAAAAAATTAAAATTCGTTAATTTAAACTTTTAATTTGTTTCAATTAATTATATACGGTTAAATAGTAAAATAATGCAGAGTTAAATAAAAGCTTAAACATTAATAAAAAAATTCCATACATTTTAAAGTCTATTAAAAAATTAATTTTTTTTTAATTTAGTTAAAATTTATGTATAAGCATGCTGTTAACACTATAACTTTCGAAAAATTATATCGATTGACCCGATAGTTTTTTTAAACAGTTTGTTTAATCAATGCCTGGAGCTAATTTGAAAATCATAACTCAATTGTTATCAATTTAATTGTAAATAGAATATTTCTTTCATAATTTCCTGAAAATTTTCACTAATCTGGCAGCCATATGCAATACATATCATGTAAATTCCTGATTATAAAATTAAATAAATTTTTTTATTTATAAAAATTATTTTTCACAAATATTGTAGATTACATGTAGTTACAATTAAATACTGTAGATTATTTTTCTTATATAAAAATAATTTTCCTGTGATGATGTCAGGATCATTTTATTTCATAAGCAATTTTCCAATTATAAGAAACTAGTTATTGTTTAATATCTTTAATATTTCAAGACTAAATTATCAACGACAGACACTTTTAGGTTGTCTAGTAAATAAAAATCTTCAATTACATACGTTAATTGGATAAATCTCTACACTCAGTAGTTATTAATTATATTGGATTTTGTGCTAATAAAAATAGGATTTATTTATGCCTTACAATAATAATTAAACGCGAAGACGGTCTTCTAACGTAAAGAATGAAAACTTACAACTAACCGAAAAAAAAATGGCAAGTGTCATCAGAAATACGGCTGTTGTTTGCTGACGCGCCTTCTGGTGTTTAAATTTTTATTTGTCTCAAGAAAATATATTTGTTAATTTGAGAATTAGATTTTATTGAGTTAAAAAGATACTTTTGAACCAAGCACCAGATTTTGAAGCAATAATTTAAAAACCAAGAAAAAAAATTCTTGAAGCAATAAAATCGAGTTTTTTTTAGTTCAAGAATATTTATCTTTTTCTGTGAATACAAAATCGTTATAAATAATTGATAAAAAATTTTCCCAATGATGCAACTTTTATAATAAATTAAAAATATTTATACTTTATTGGAACTAGTAATTTAATTAAAGCAAACAAGTAGTTCAAAGCTATATTAGCATTTTTACCTTTAAATTTATTAATATTTACATTTATTTAAATCAAAGTAAATTCTTAAGCGCCATTTAAAAAACAAGAAAAAAAATTTACACCAGGTTTTATTCTCATATAAGCTCATAAATTACCAGATCAACTAACATCAGAACATTTTTTCACGGGCAAGCGGTAACAGTTGTATTGCGACCTCTAATAAGCGCTGAAGCAATTAAGCTTGAACTTCTATTCATAAATGTATAACTAAACTATAACAGGAAAATCTGAAATATATGATGGTGGTAATAACAATAATAATACCTGTTCTTGTTGGGAATACTGCCGTCTAAGTGCACTTCCGCTACGCTGCAACAATGGAAGGTTTTCCTTTTCAGCGGCGCTGTGGGCGCGTTCTAGTTTCGGGCGTTTGTCTTGAGTCAACTCTGTACGCCCAGGTGGTCCTTCATTCTGCAAGTCCTCCTGCATCCTTCTCATCATCGCCTGGTCCGCGGCCCCCAGCCCGGTTTTCACCATCCACTGCCCGGTTTTTGACAGAAGTTCTTGCTTTTTACGACACACTATGCACACCCATATCACCTGCAAGTTTCAATTGAGAAGAAACTTAATTTTCGGCTAAAAAATCTTTTTTTTATTGACTTATGGTTATGGTTGTTGGAAGGAATTTTTATTGAAAATGAAATGACAAATTGGCTGAAAATAACCGAGTACGGAAAAGATAAAAAAAACAGCGGGATTGAGAGTAAATTTGTATTTTTGTGTTAAAAATAAAAAAACTTAAATAAGTAAAGAAGATTATAGGAAGATGAATAAAAATAAAAGAATAAAAATGATGAATTCGACGTGAATAGAAAATTGAATTCGAATGGGCGGAAAGCCATGCATTGTTTGAAGTTCGAAGGATATTCAAGAGGGTGAAAAGTTGATGTGCCAGAGGGAGTGAAATGTAAAAAAACAACGGAATCAGTCACTAGTATTGATATCTACCAACGTATTCACGACCTAATTTAGAAGACTTATCTTTTAATAAAAAAAAAATTACCACTTTTTTTACATCTTATTCTAACGGGATAAAAATTCTTGAGGAATTTCTTGAGAAAATAATTCATTCAGAATAGTTTTTTTTTTTTATTGATTACTCATTAAAGCTAGTCAAAAATTTTTTAATTTAATTACACTAAAAACAAAACCTGATTAATTAAAAAAAAAAATGTTTTCTTTAAAATTTCATTTTTGTTTTTGGATCTAAAATATTTTTTTAAAAAAATTATTTAATTTTGCATCAGCTAAAATTTATTTAAAAAAAAATAATAACATTGTTAAAAGATCAGAATTTTTACAAAAAAAAAATTTTTTTAAACTTTGACTACGAATTAAAATTAGACCACTAATTATTTTTATGTCTTCGCCGGCATTTTTAGAATCTTCAAAGTCTCAGCTTTAAAACTCACTACAAGTTTTTTGAATTATAATAATTTTTCGCAAAGTTTTCAGCGCCCCCAGGTCATCATTGAAATTTTTTTTGATAATTTTTTATAATGTAAGAAATAAAAATCTAAATTTATTTTTTCCGGATTAATTTATATTCCTATTAATTAGATCTAGCTGAGAATCCATAGATTTTTTTTAATTAATTTCCGGTAAAAAAATTTCTATCCATCAAATTCACGAATTAGTGATGCAACACAATTCAAGAGGAGAATTGAAAAGAGAGAAATCAATGATTTTAAAATCATTCATTTTTTATTAATTAAAAAATTAGGTTGTAGTTTTTATAACGTATGAATTTTATTGAAAATTTAGTCTGAAGAATTTTTTTTAGAAACATTCAAGAGGTTACGTACGAAGCCATAAAACATTGATGATCACAACTCAAGTAAGAGTAACAAGAGTTGAGGTAGTAAGTGTAAGCCAGGTCGCAAGTCACCGATGTATCCAATGTGCAGAATATAAAAGGAACAAAAGTAAACGGAAGAAGAAGTACTGTATTGAGGGTATTACTTCTTGAGAAAAACACCGGCGATATTTCTTCGGGTCACAATATCCACCAGTGTCGAATCATTTCCGAAAAACTCATGTTCTTAGTTCGACAAACTCGCGATACTTTCTTTCTTGTTGGTGCTAAAGAAAAGTGTTTGCTGGTAATGGGTGGCGTAATGCTAAGGTAAATCCATTGGCCCATTTCGTGAGTTTAAGTCAGTCTTACGCTCACGTCTTACAGCTGTAGCTGCAGTTGGTGGAAATTGCAAAAAAAAAAAAATAAAATTGCCGAGTTAAAATGAACGGAAGACATAAGAAAGTTTTATTTCATTCAAATTACTCTTGAATTTTTTTAGATTTCTTCAGAATTTTTTCTATATTTAGATTTTTAGAGTAAAAATCGTATCAAATTAAAATCAGCAAGTTTTTTTATACTTTAGAATGCTGGCTTTAAAAAAAAGCGCGCTTTTAACTTTCAGAACGCCATTTTCTAGTATAACCAGTGTTACTACTGCTGACGCCATCTGTCGGAACTTTTAAGTATTAATATCATATATTTTATTAAAATATATTTCTCTTTACTTATTTAAAAAAATATATTATTCATGTTCTCATTTTATTTTTTTTTATTCTATTTTTCTCATCGACTTGCTTTAATTTTTTTTCTATTATTTTTATCTCATTTTCTTTTATTATTATTCAACTTCAATTTACATAAATTCGTATTTATCACAGTAAAAAATATTAATCATTTCCAAATGAATATTTTTTGACGATATTTTTCGAATAGACAAAAAATTAAATTATTTTCTAATCAATTAATTAATAAATAAAAATATGACCAATGAGTGAAAAAAAAAAAATAAATAAATTCACTCGAGATTAACGGATGCCACGCGAGCAGCCCTTCTATTATTTTGATCGATCGCACTGCAGAAGCTTTGCAGAACTTTCAATAGATTGACAATCTCCTCTCTTACACACAAATTATACAAAATACCAACTAAAAATTTATTTACCGATAAGTATAAATAGTTTTTAATAAACTATTGGCATCTAATAAAATTTTTAACAACCCCAAAAAATTAATTTATCACGTATCAGTTAATTTAATTTAATTAATTAATTATATTAGGTAAAAGCCACTATTATTGGACAGAAAAAAAAGTTCATTTGAGCCAAGAAAATATTTTTCTTCCTAATTATTTCTTGAGCGAAAAAAAAAATTTTTTTTTGACAAGAAATTTTACTTATTCCAACAAAATTAATTCTCTTCAAGCCTAGATCTAAAAATTCAATTCTATAAAGCGCCCAGGGGAGCGGGCGAGTAACAGTTAGTTTAAAAAATTTGTATCAACAATTGTGATTATTAACAGATTTTAATAATGAAATAATAAAATTAAATAGGTTGTCAATAGTGGGGGCCCTGTTATCAATAATAGGGGCTTTTACTTTAATATAATAAAATCCAATATATATGTTTTTATATATTAATCACGCAACCCAAAATTTTTCATTTCCTGGACATCCTGCTCAGTCGACATGTGACGTCGGATCAATAATTTTCACTTGAGGGGACGACTGAACGCTGATGGGAAAAGAGAGGCGACAACTAAAGTATACCAAGTGAGTGAAAAAAATAAATAAAAGTAGATCTGCCCGTAAATTACTTGGAGATAAAAAGCGCTAAGGCCTATCAATATATATGTATATATATATATATATATATATATATATATA